TTTATCTGATTCCCTGCGACATTTCCTTTTTTACTTAAGGCATTGCAGTTTTCAATATTTTAAGGTTTATTTTTACCAGAAAAAAAAAAACGTTCCTCCTTAACCCCAGCATAAATGTTGTAAGAATTTATTTTTTACAGGACCTACTTATTTCGAGGAAGTAACGTAATTTGCCTTTAATTTAATTAGACTTGAAAAGGTTATATCAAAAGTTGCGACCTCCATCAAGAGTTGACTGATTTTAAGTTTTCTCATTTGAAAATTCTAACACGTCCATCCAAGGAATGATTACTTTGAAATGACTGTATCTTCCAGGTTGCTAATACATATCTGAAGATGGTGCTTGAGGTTCTGAACTATATAATAAAACAATCAGTTATTATTATTTCTTGGATGGGTCATAGAAATAATTCCGAATTATTAAGACAATTCTGGGAATCTCTCCTCATCTTAACGGTAGAGGTGTCCTTGTTTTTTTAAGTTCATAGTAATGAATATACCGATACACCTTATACCGGCAAAGTCATTATTAACCACTAGTATTCATATTCTGTAATCTATTTTATTGTTGTCACTTATGTACTGTAGCAATTGACGACATCCCTCTCCAGTAACTGCTATGTCTAATACACGCTGTGTACAGCATACACAGAGCAACTTATTATCGGATTGCCTACACTCTAACTATACAACCTTACACCATATGGACTACTCATGCCGGACCCCTAGTACGGAAACGCTGGCAAGGGGCCTCTCTTTTACCCCCAACTAAAACTTTTATAGAGACCTAGGTGATATTTTTAGCCACTTTCCGCGACAAATCTCCTCCACACTTGCTACAGCATCGCTTTTTCTTTTACATCCATAGGGAAAGAGGGGTATGGGTAGGGTAAGAGGGGTAGAATTGCAAATCTGTTCTTGAGAATATCTCAGTAATCTCATAATTTGTGGCTGTCTGACTATATTGACACTGTATATTCATGGGTTGACTTGACGAATCTTTGAGCTGTGGATCTTTTAACATTAGGTGTTGCGTGCTTAAGAAGTGATGTACTGTAGTTTCTTCAAGTTATTTGACACTTATCTCAGCGTGACAGCTTGCACGCGTAACCAGAGTTAGCGGGACCTTGACTTCCACAGTTCTTCGAGTTGAGATTATGTCGTTTAATCGTTTTCGAGGTCACAGTGAGATCTTTAAGGCCCTTTCGTTATAATGATGATTTAGAAATGCAACTTCTGTGTGATCTACTTGCCAGTCTACGTTTAATAAACAGAAACAGTTTTATGATATAACTGCTGGAAAATAAATTGAAATGAAAAAAAAGATACGCACACATACGAAAATTGCTTTATTCTTTTCTTTTTTATATTATATAAGTATACTGTAACATATAGATAAGAGGAAATTTAATATAAAAAAGAGGAATATTTTACGAAAGAAAAAAAAATTAAATATCTAAATTAATTTCGGCCATGCTCTCAATGCGAATACACGTTTGAACAAACCTTTATTACATTCTATGTGTACATAGAAGGTATAACCATATAAATACCAAAATCATTATCAGGCCAAAGCCACAGCAACCATTTTGATTGCAATATAATCTGAAAATGTTCCCACAAGTTATTGCCTCCATTGTTCACTTTAAGAGAAGGAAGTCCTACATTACACACTATCACAAAATCAGATTTGATTAATTCTCTGTTGCCTTGATATGTAATGGACCCCTTGATGAGTTGGCTTCCGGTGTATTAACCTAAGGTTCTGTAGGAATTCTTTAGCCGAGGTATATAAGAAGTATTCTTAAATCCTTTTCGTAAGATTGTAGACATAATGCAGGCGCGTACGCAGGGGGGTTGGGGGTTGGGGGTTGAACCCCCCTTTGGTATTTTTTTGAAAAATTACCTATGGCTGACCTAAAAAAGTTGACCTTACCCCCCCCCCCAAAAAAAAAAGTCAAATTTTCAAATTAAGAGACCAAAAAAAAAAAGTGTCCTCTTACCCCCCCCCCCTGCTTATTCAGCGGCTGGCTGAGTAGTTGCGAAATTTTCGGCCTGATTAAAAAATGTTAACCCCCCCCCCCCCCCCTTGACAAAATCCTGCGTACGCGACTGACATAATGTACTCTGTATAGACCTATGGCGTGGCCAGTCCGGGGTCATTGGAACGGATATGTTTTGAAATTGCTGAGTCTCCTCGAAGTACCATAATTATGATGCTTTCTTATCTACTATAAATGAACGTTACAAAGTTTCATCTACAAATGAACTGTTAACGAATGCTAACGATTGTCCGGAGGATATACGTTTTTCAATTTCCTCTTCCGAGGCAGAAGCGCCATAATAATAATTCCTTCTTATCTGCTAAAAAATGCTTCTTGATCAAGACAAAGCACAAGTTAATAAAATGCAATAACATTAAAATTGTCGTGGGGTGTGTGATTGAGAGGTTCAAAAGTTTATTAAACATCCGATCAGAAACGTGGTACGGTGCTTCAAACAAATTTTCAAGTACGGTACTAGATCTATAACTAATATATTGAATGATGAATCGCAATAATTACTTTAAGTCATGGGCTTTCCTCGGCCCCTTCTAAAAAGGTAGTGAAGGGTGGGGACAGGGGAGAGGAGGGGGATGATTTGGTGTAGGTCAAAGGAAGTTCAATTTGCTGAGCAGGTAGTGATCATAAATTAGAAGGTAATTCGTGGATATTCCGTATTCTTAGGAAATGAATAATCAGGTAGGGATAAAACATACATTTAGGCCCCACTGTCGAACGTGCTATCAAAATATTTTGATCATGAAGAGATTCCATATAAAACTTAAGTAAGGCGTATCGATTCCATAAACATCACGCAATCTCTCTTAGCTTCGGTACGCTTCCCAGCAGGAGGAAGCGTTTTAATGTAGTTTGTTTCCATATATGGTTTTTTTCTCCATATAGGCCTATATGTATCGTTTTATACAATTCTTTATTTAAGAGAAGTAGAATACAAACGGAGTAAACACAGTACAAATGTCTTGAGAATGGCAATCATTTGACAAAGTAGTGATAACCGTGATAATGAGAAAGATGCAAAGTTTGCACGATTTTTACCTCATATTTACAAAGAATGCATGAGATAGGTTTTTTATTCGATAGATACAGCGTATAATCTTACATGATTGGCTGAACATGGAAAAGAATATATACATAATTTTGTACAGTCTTATTTGCAAAAAAATACAAGCACATTTACTATATATCATTAGTGAACACTAATGTTTTTTGCTCAACGGGGGGGGGGGGGGGTATGGAGCACAACTTTTGTTAAATCAGGGGGGGGGAGTCGCGCGAACCCCTGAACCCCCGGTGGTGAAGGACCTTCCTTACCATTGTCAACACTCTGAAGATTTTTTTTTTTTTTCGCCGTTGTATAGGAAAAATTCGGTTCCACGTATATTCCATATTTTGACAAAAAAGATTCGCATGGCACAAATTCTAAATCTCTTTTTAGTAAGCCCTTTATCGTTGAGGCGGCTTCACATGTTTTTATAGTCAATCACATTGATAACTATCGACATTAAAAATCTATAAAAGGAAAACGAACAAACTCATAAGAGTTGAATATATTCAATCTGCTGGCAACTCCATGTACATGCACGTATTAATACGGTAAACCCTGTGTCTATTTCAAGTTAGTTGGCACTGAAACTAAACTTGGCTCTTACTCAAATCACTGAGAGCCTCTTTGACTGCACTTGTTTCTTACTATTGTATGCAAAAATGCAACAATGTTTATTAGATTCAATGCGTTGTTTAATGTTACATATGTTTCCCTTTGTATGCACTTGTTTCTTGCTATTGTAATGCAAAGATATGCAAGGTCGTTTTAAACTTTCAAGGCAGGTTGGATAAACGACACATTATACTAGTCAGTAATTCAACAAATTTTGGAAAGTTTCCACGATGCAAATCCTCATAACCTCCCCACAAATAAAGGCTCAATGGCTAGGACTACTGCCAAAGTCTGACATATGTATTTTATTTCTGTAGTTATCATGTGCAAGCAAAGCATTCTTCAGTATATGCTGATCGCCATGTACAAAATGTAAAAGATTTATTTTCAAGTATATACAACAAAAAGCATAGAAATGTCGGAGCAAGTTTGCCAAGTATTTTGATCATCTTTTAACAAAGAAAATGAATGATTTGTCCTAAACATTCATTCATTAGCCCTTGATTGGGGTACTTTAGTTGGCATATGACGTTGTTTGCTCGTACTGATACTGATCAATAAATGATATGGCATTTGAATATGCAAATACAATGTTCTTTGACAAAGTAATGTTAAATTTCCTTAGATTGGGTCTTTGCGTGTCATCTAGCATCTATATGTATAGTCATCTATATGATTTCACAAAAAATTATGAACTTTGAAGAAAGATATTTTTTATAAATATTGTATAGGCCTATTCATAATCTTTAATTTTTATATTAATAGTTGATCGAAATTCAAATTTTTCAGGATTTGACAGAAAAAAATTATTCTATATGAGTGCATCCACACAAAAACATATTACTATCATTATAACTTGGATGCTGGTGTGAGGGAATAAGATTCTTAGGGGGGGGGGGTGGGAAATTTATATTATCAATATAAAGAAAATAATTAGTGGATAGTGAGGCAATGACGTCACAGACTAATGAGTGAGTTGCCAATTTGTCTTGTGATTTTCAGAGATTTTCATGTCATTACAAATTCATAACTTTCTAATATTAGTTATCCGATTGCTCAATTATTTTTGCTTGATTTGTCTGATTTTCCTGCTTCTATTAAAAATAAGTTATTTTTGGAGTGGACTTGCCCTTTAAAATAAGAAGACAATCCATTCGCACTATGATGAAGGGAACAAGCCAGTGAAAAACAAGTGGGAATTAGAAGAGGATCATAGTAAGCCGTGAGTTTGTAACTGAAAGTTGTTTAATTACGCTATATAAAATGTTCATTGTACTTACCCAATCACATACTTCAGGGTTGGTGGAACTATAGCAATCAACTCTCTGTAACAATGTATCAATCATAAGCTGGGTCTGTTCTAAGTTCAAGCTTGGACCTCTCTTCGACTCCTGCTGCCTCTGCAGGAGACGGGTCACACGATCAAAAGGTCCATTGCGTCCATGAATCTGAGCTTGAGAGGTGTGTAGTACGGCTGACAGGACAACCATCAAGACGGACAGTATCCATAGGCTTAGTCCCGATTGTCTTATTAGACCGGTGGTCGTAGATCTTAACAAACCCATGGCTATAACCAAAGACCACTATGACTCCTAGTGTCGATGTTACCTTAACTCCGCTTTAAAGGTATCAGAATAAATGTCACCCACCATATATTTTAGTGAAGCCAATTTAAATCCAATTCTTGTCAAGATAGTTTCCTCCTGTAATTTTTTTCATATATAGGCTAAAATATATATCGTCTCATTAAATATGCTTGAACATATCAAATACTTTTTTCGTGACAGCGTGAATGATCCAAAATACTGGAAGAACTTTGTTGCAGAACAAATTGTATAATGTGAGTACGGTATACAGTGCAAAACAGAAAGTCGATTCTTTCTACTAATTCATAACAGAATGTGATTATGAAGACAGTCCCTCCAACAAAGAATGGCGGTTCATTTCACTGCAGGAAAGGACGGCTGTCAACATCCCATGTTAGCTGATCCTACAAACTAGACTGTCACAACGGTTTGGTCGTCTGGCTATAAACACACACACAGTGTTCTTCAGACTTCGCAAAAGTTCCTTCGAACAAAAATGCGTCATTTCCCACCCCATATACAGTAAGAGACGAAGCAAACCACGTGGAATTAGATGTGAGCCTAGCTTCCTAGTCTGTGTACGGCAAACTTCTCTTGCCACTTCGTGCCGTGTGCACACAAACATGTAAATTATGTACAGGGTCAACTTTTAAAGGCCCACTGCACTACTTGTAGCTACTTGCGCCCTCTATATAACAACCAAAGCCTAATCGGTGACCATTGGTCCCCCATGATCCTCTTTTTCTTATGATAACTGAGAGCTGAGTTGATGAGATAACCACCTGTCCAGTGACCTTGCAGAGCGCTCTAATCCCTCCTATAAACTATGGCAGATATGCTTTAAGAAACAATAATTTCACCATGAAACGTATAGCATATAACCCTGAGACAAGCTTGTTAGCCCAAACAAATGTTGTCAAGTAATATACGCTTTTTCATGTAGATGGTAAACATTCTAGGGGCAAATTAAGTTGGTTGAAGGGCACTTTGTACAATCACGATTTGAGGACAGAGGCCGTTGAGATATATATATATTATCCTAAAGACGATCAGAACATACGAATCGAAACATCGACAACCAAAAGCTCTTATAGACCTCGAGCACCAGCCCCCGTTTCGGGGCTTTTATTGCCTTGAAAAAGTCAATGGATGAAGCCCCTGAAAACTTATATACACCTGCTATCAAAAGCTTTTAATTTTTGAATAAGTGAGTATCTAATTGTTAATTCATTCAAAGAATATCCTGCATCGTGTCACCTACCAGACATCTCGATCGGTCCTCGCTGGGTCCACCGTTCAGGCAGGAAGTGGAATTACATTGCTAGAAAGCCACAAGGCAACGCGATGAACGCCGTGGAACTACTTCCGGAAACCAGCCTCTACGATGATTAATTCTTCAAATTTACATAGCTCAACGGGGCGGTAAACTTGAATCCCCAAACCCTTATTTGGACCTTCTTTAGCGGCTTATTTCTTATTAATAATGATACACCGACATTACACCATCATGTGGAATATTATCTGTCGACGGCCTGTTCGAAATGTAGACGCTAACTCTTTAAACGAAATATGTTGCTTTCTTTGGGAAAGGGATAATATCTGTCATAGAATTATTATCTAGATTTTAAATAGGCCAAATTGTACTAGCAATATTTTATTTTTCCATCCGATCACGTTCACTATTAAGGTTCTAAATGAGATTTGATCTTCGTTCTCTTTCTTTGTGTGGGATAGTTGTGTATCTCTGGAAGTTTTACGTGTTATCTATGGAATTTACGGTTTTATAAATGCGACCTTTTCAAATATTCTTTATCAAAACGATTTTTGAGTTCATCTCTTACATCATGATGTTTTATATTGATACATCTTTATACCACCTAAGATGGTACTTACTTTCATATGTTACAGATTGTGACATATATTCTTACACTAATAATTGAAAAATGTAATACTCATCACGTTTTAAACCTAGAAGCAACTGACTTCGAAAAAATTCAACGTCACATTTTTGGTTATATTGCGTAATTACTGTGTCAAACTTAGTTCTAAGTTACCTTGCCACATTTGCCAATGTTTGTATTTTTTATAGTATTGTTGCGGCATGTTGATGACCAACTACACTCTTTCTTTTTACTTTTCCTGACTTATTATTATAGTTATATACAATGTCAATGTCGGTGTACCATTATCAACTCTACGTAGCTTGAACCTAAGATTTAGTTGTATTTTTGTGAACTGTCTGTCGTGGACATCGTCTGGTCTTATACAATATTATTTTTTGTTGTTGTAAATAATGATTTTGATCTTACATTTTGGCTCATTTCAACCCTAATTACGGTGATTTCGGAGGTGCATTTTCACATTCAAACGGTGATTAAAAGGATTTATTCTGAAGCTAATCTAATTAAATGCGTATACTGTGCAATTTTAAAGTCGTGGATATCTAAATAAAATCATCAAATAATACATGGGGCGTCAGTGCAAATGGTAATACAGAGGCTTACAAAGGATCACAAAATAAAGTAAATTATCAATACGCCACATTGCTTTGGTGAAAGCAACCCTAGTTTCTGGGTTTTCTGTTTGTTGTTTGTTTATTGTTTGTGCGAGTGTATATAGGAATCATGAGATTAAGAAACATCAAGGTGGTTTTGGATGAGATTCTGGCTAAGCATTTGTGCCCCAAAATACAAGGTAATAATCAGAATCATTTTTAATTATAATTTGGTGGATATATTATAAAGTTAAATGACTCACATTGATTTCTATTTTCTTTTATTATTACAATTGACGTATTGAATCATTTATTTAGTTCTCTTGTTTAGTGTAAGATGGGTTCATAAGAATCAGTAATACTGCAATTAAAATGAGGCTAACGTCAAGTCGAACAGATTGCGATGTGCTTATATGACATCAAGAATAATTATAGGCTTATATATGCAACAGGCCGTTGTAGTTCACAGTTCACAGTTCACAGTTCACCGTTTTCTAAACACCTCTTCTTTTTTCTCTCGTTTTTCTATCTCTGATTTATTACTTTCTTACAAATATAATTATGTAACCCTACATGTTGTATTAACAGAACATCTATATCTAACCCTGAATGGTATACATTAACCGGACATCATACAACTTGTATATTATCCTAACCCTAAATTAAAAGATTAAAACTACTAATAACTTATGATTAAACATATGGTTTCTTGGGAGGCCTTTAAGTTTCCTCTGCCTGCGAAACGTACGTAGAGGGCAGTAATTATATTGTTCAATCGTTGACAGAACATGAAAATGTCCTGCTAATGACCATGTCTACTTAATTACTCATTTTGTTCACTTCATATGTCCTTCTAATGACGCTGTTAGATGTATATATTTATGTTCATATATATACCCCAGATATAGGTATTTTTAATTGTGAACCCCAATAGTTCTAGGAGATATAAATAATTGATGACTAAGCTATGAAAACACCTGTTTTATATGATAAATAAAATCACCAAATGCACTCTGGTTTTGCTATGAAGAAAACGGTATTTTATTGCGATATTGCAATATTCATTTCATTTAACACGTTAAAGATTTAAGGTTGACAGGTAAGTCAATGCGAGGGTGAAATGGAGAGTATTTATAGAAAATGAAATAACTAGACGAAAGAAGGTCGTGGGGAGAATCGTACGATCAAATATAACTTTGATCTTGATCATTGAATGAAATAGGGAAACTGGAAGATATCACACCGTCGATGTGGTCCCTTAGCCCCCCCCCCCCCCCCCCCCCCCCCCCCCCCCCCACGTAGACCTATGATCCTACCTTCGGAGCTCGTTTTGTTGATTCGTGTTTGTAATAAGTTTAATAATTTATATTTAAAAAAAAAAAAAAAAAAAAAAAAAAATCGAAAAAAATAATTACGAAACTGTTGCAAGCAAATGCCCGTAGGCACACACGTACCAACACACACCCGCACACACGCACGACGCACATTATACAAGTAGTTTCGAGATGCTGTGCTGTCAAAAGAAAAATAAAGATCGCACCGCTCTCACACACTGCACACAACCACACTCGTCTAGACTACACAACCACATTTCTTAAGACCTAGGCAGTGTTTTATAAAGAGTTGCGACTGATTCAAATCCATCCCAACTAGTTATGAGATGGAGCCCCGTCTTCTTATATGGATCAGATTACAAATGAACCCTTTACTCCTGAAAATTATATATAAGGGTACGAAAAAAGAAAATGTATGCACCCTTATAAAACCTGTCACTAGACGCTCGGTCTGTGGTCCCTTAACACAAAACTTAGCAAGTGATCTTGAATTCCATATTTGCGATTGATAGTATTGATCACTACTCGCAAAGATCAAACCTACGATCTATTGCAACGCTTTGTACTACGGGCCCAGAGTTGCGACCACTAAGACTGAGGTCGAGGTTATCGACTAAAACCACTCTCACCCATCGTCGGGCTAGTACACATGTCCCTGTGTGTTTGGTTGATGTAATCATAGCCTTCCATAAACTTTGACGTTGAGGCCATGGATTAAAGATAAACTCCAGTACTGGTAACAAAAAAAAAATAATTCTCACAGAATCAAACGAAACTTACACTGAATGTTCAAGATTACAAATAAATGACATGTGCCAAACAATTTTGGAAGAAAATGTATACTGGCTGAGTAATGAGCATAGAAAGTCAAGGAAATCAAGGTAGTACTAGCCCCGACACCATGTGTGTTGTCCCATATATAGATTTCTATGTGAGTGCTTGTTACTTTACCAAGACTCGGTTAAATTTATTATGATTTTGATGACTCCAGAACCTTGCAGTGCACACCAATACTTACATGCTACATGATCAACTGTTTCTGATCCTTTCCACACCTTTTCTTTCACAATGCAATCGCATTACCAGTACTAAAGTTTATCTTTAAGGTTACCAAACAATAGACAATAGATAAATGACAACGTTAATTAATGACACAAAAATGTAAAATGATGCTTTGTTGAGGGAAAGGATATGTAGTTTAATTCATTTTAGGCGCTCGTCCGTTTACAGGCACACTCGTTTCAGTTGAAATTGGTTAACATGAAAACCAATACATGACTGATATATGATTAAACATGTGACAGATATTTGAATCATGGCTTATTGATTGTAATACTTACAACGGAACCTACGTGAGGGATTGAAAATGTTCAGGATTCCAACTTAATCTGAAACATTAATCTCCCAGGGTTGTGGGTTATTCCACATAAAAAAGGACAATTAATACAGAGGTTAAAACTTAATTTTTGTTCAAGTTCAATGAAAAGGGAGATTTAGATATAATCTTTTGTCGGGTGTCTACCTAATCTGATGCCATTCAACAGCTAATTGTGGCACGTGCTGCACTTTTTTGAATAATGACTCTGTACTACCATTGCATTTTTATAAGGGCAGTGTAGCCAACATAACGCAGAGACCCCCCCCCCCCCGGTAGTCGTTTGGACTGCTCATTACAGCAAATATGGCGTTTCGTATGCCTCAGAAAGGGGGGGGGGGGTCATGGGAGGGGAGGGCGGCATGTAGTGCCGCTTTTGTCATCTTGCTACATTTTGACCCCTGTTACTCAATTTCTAGATACGCCATCAACGACGGTTAATAAACTTAAAGTACAAGCACATGACATGGTTTTAAGAAATGCAGTTATCATAAGAGAGGTCTTCTGATATTCGAAACGGGTTCAAATCAAAATGAGAACACCGAGTATGATTATTGTTATATACAAGAATAATACAAATTTACATTTCATATTGGAGGTACGATTATACTCAGATTTGGTCAAAAGCCAGGAATATCATCTGGGGCATGTCTATATGAAGTAGCTATTATTATAAGACCAATATTCTTAGTTATTCTACATGGACGATAAGATATCAAACAATGTTCACCTATTCAGATTGCAAGTACAATAGACAGTCATACTCTTACAATTCTTCCTTAATATTGTTCTCATTTCGCAAATCTAATGAATTTGTTATATTTACATCATTTTTACTTCTTCTTCATTTTAGTGTATATTATCGTAAAAGGCTTCCCAGAAATGTTTTAATGGCAAGCAAAGGAGCTCAGCAACATGATTACATATTATATATAACTTATTTGATTAAAATAAAAAGCGATTGGATTGTATGTACAGTATAGGTCAAAATCAACTTGAAGGATTGCATTTAGTTTGTCAACAGAAAACTGCACCTCTTTTGAACTTCATTGTGTACTGACTGTGTAATCGCTCAACGGAAAAAAGAATTTCGATTCCTTTTTTTTAGCCCGAGTTTTTTTCTTCAAATGCAGTATTCTTGATGTTCATCGGATTGATACGTCATTGAGCAACAACAACAAAAGATGTAAATAAAAGGGAAAACTAAGAAGTAGTACTAATTATAAGTCTTGTGTACGGGTAGATGACTTGACAGCCTCTGGTGAACGTCTGATCCGAATAAAAGATATCTATTTCCTGCTAACTGTAAAGGGGGAAGAGAACGAGTTTTTAATTGAGAGAGAGCTGGTAATGAAAGGCTAAAGATCAAAGAATCATGTTCGTCTATATCACATATTAAAATAGGAATTAAAACGTTGAATTAACCAAATCATAAAATCCTGACAACACACAAAAAGAGGTAACAATCTCGTTACATAACATTCTATCTTACTCCTCTCAAGTCGTTTTTCTATTTGATAATTTTCTTTAATATTTATTTTGTTGGGTGTAAATTCAACATTACTATGAAGGCAGGTACTAATGGATTACGAAGTGTTGTTTCATACTTATTCAGTAGTATCTCTCTTTGATTTTTTGTTGTTGTTCCAACTGCTGTTTTTAGTTAATTGATTAAGTTATACCTTAAAGGTACTACAAAGTTTTGGTATGGGGTCATGAATTTGGTTCAAATTAACATATTGGAAGCATATGCATTCCTACAATATTCATTGATCGTTGTCGCGGTTGAAATTGAGTCTAAAGTTATGAAATAATAAATAATACAGGTAAACTCTTTATGTTGTATAGCTCCCTCTCAAGGTCAAGATATTAATTTAGCTATGAAACAATGTTTCTTGACTAAAATCGACCGATTAGCTATTTCCGTTTGGAAATTATATATCACAACTACATATTCTGAGATTTTCATGGTCGCAGCTACCATTGTACGGCCATAGGCGCTATTTGAAATTCATCAAAATTTACCGGGAGCACCGGCAAATTTTTATATTTAATTTTTCTCGAAAACAGAAGTGTTTTAGGGGCTAATTTTTTTAGTGTTTATAATTCATCCCCAGGGGCATCCAAATATATCAAAATTGTAAAGATTCACTATCCACCCAATTTTCAAAATTTCCCAAAACTTTGTATTACCTTTAACACAGATTCATGAGAAACGTAATCCATCGTTGACATAAAAGGCCTACCGAATGCACAAACAACAACCATCAGATGTATTGATGTTTATTCCAGAACACGAATAAATACTTTAAAATGATATTGGACTTAAATACCCGATAGCCCTGAATAGGGAATTCACATCACATATAGATCTTGGGATTAAATTACGATTTAAAGACATTAAAACTAAACAAAAACGCATCCACAAAAAAAATGATGCTTAATAAGGAACAAAACAATTACGTGATACGAACTATTGATTGCGAATGATTTGGTGGGGTCAGTTTCACATGAATTATTCGGTTTTTTCCAAAGGTTCACTTTTCCGAGGGTTTATAATTCTAAAACACAAATTTCACATACTAGGGAGTTTATAAATGAAATAGGGCTTATAATTCCAAACATTCCATACATGAAATATATAAAATGAAATATATTTTGTAATTTAGAAAAATGAAAAGGGTTTATAAACACAGAAATGTAATATGGTTTATAATTCCGAAAAATGAATAGGGGTTCATCCTTCCCCATTTCATTTTCGGAGCTAAGAACCCTTTTTAGTAAAATAAAATTATGAACGAAGCTTCGAAAAAACAACCATTGGAAAAGCGACATGTAAAGCCTCGGTCACAAATGCCCTTACGAACGCCGTACGAACGATTTTCAGACAATGGAAATTCGGGAAGACAATGGAAAAAACAGGGAGATTCGTACGAAATTATTGTTCGTACGAACCTTTGTGACCGTAGCATAACCGATTTCACCCATGAACAATTCCCTGTGGGCCTCACACGAGACCCAAGTCAGACTTGGGATCCGTAAGAGCCTTATTTTATGCGAGCGCATACGGTTGCGTCAAGTGGTCTGCTCACAAGACGCCCTTATGTCACTTGAGAGTGTATGAAACTTGCAAAATTTCTTTACATAAGTACCATTAGAATCTCATATTTTGAATATACTATGACGACTTGGATCTAGTTCTAAAACACAGAAAAAAACATTGTTTGGTGATTTTTAAAGTACAAAGTTACTTACTTGCATTGTTGCAACTGGCAAGAGACTCTCCTTCCACTCTGTGGATAGATCATCTCGTACCTGTCGCTAGTTCCTTTGCCGTACTCTGTGCACAGATAGTTATACGGATGGCATCCGATCGCTGTACAAAAGGGTAAAAGTCAGATGAAGTCAGTAGGTTACATACTTAACTTTCCCCAGTCAAATAAAACTACTGATGTAATTAATGTAAGCGATGATTAAAAAATGTACTAGGCCCATGTATGCATTATATACCCACACATGTGTTTGTGTCCATATACGACAAATCAAAACTGATTGTACCCTTTTGAAAAGTGTGGAATGCAAAGGCTGCAAAAGTTTCATATACTCTTGATTAGGGGCGTACTCACTTGTGCTGAATATCGTGTGTGTAGACCCTACAAATCACGGAGTTCCAAATTAAAGTTTGACCAATCACAACAACCTTTTGTATCCTTCAAGGGGATACAACACACAAAAATACATTACACAGATAAACTTTAAAATAGTTTTTAAAAATGAATATTTGAAAATTTGAAAAAATGTCTTACCGCCCATATTGAAATTAAAGCGGATGCCGTTGATACTCATAGAACCGCCAGGGACAAGGGATGTCTTGGCCTGCTTGGGTGTGAGAACATTGCCAGTGTATCCGAGTTTGTCGCGGCCCGAACCATCACTCTGTGAGTTACCGTAGAAAGCAACGTGCCACAGGTTAGGGCCAGCAGGCACCCCGGACTCAGGGGAAGAGGTTAGGTCCATGTTCGCCGTAATTGGTACATCGCCATCTGACACAGGGTACCGATCAAAGTTCACATTCATGTTGAGTAGGGTCACTTGAGGTGGACCAGATGATTGTTGACCTGCACAACACCAATAACAAAAAGACCGTTCTCATTCAGTGTTATCCAGTGCTTTACAGGCATCAAAAGCCCCGGTGAGAAAATCCCATCGACAAAACGGCAGTTCATAGAGACATTTTAATATTCAACATGACAATTTATTCTACTTACAGTCAGGGGCGTCGCTAGACCTTTTTCAGTGGGGGGGGGGGGGGTGTAGAGGCCAACGATTACCGAAAAAACTAGCCACCAATTACCGACAAAATTAAATGTCCAATATCTACAAATTCAACACTATAAACCTGGGGCCGAAGGCTAAATTGTTTTTCCTATGTACTATCTATAGTACTTGCATATGCGCAAAATTGTCATTTTCCTCAACGACATAAATATACGAATTATTTCTTCAATTTAGTCAGCATCATAGCTATATATTTTAATGCAGGCGCGGAGCTAAGATCTTATTTTAGGAAGGGGCGGTAGTGAGCAAGAGAATCACTTAAAAGCGCGCTCCTTATGGGCCTCCCGCGCGAAGCTTAGACGCTTCCTTAAATTATTAGAAAAAGAAGACGATTAATTGTACCGTTTTCGACTGTTAATCCTTGGCTGAATGAAGTCCCCCCCCCCCCCGCCCCGCGCGAAAGCTATGACGTTTCATTAAATTATTATTAAAAAAAGACGATTTGCTGTACCGTTCTCGACTGTTTATCCTTGTCTGAATTCAGTTCCCCCCCCCCCCCCCCTCCCACGCAAAGCGCGGAAGCTTAGACGATTCGTTGTACCGTTCCCGACTCGACTAAATGTAGTTTTCCCCTTCCGCGCGAAGCGCGAAATTTTTGGCGTTTGATCACAATATAGAGAAAGGAAGACGATTCATCGTACCGTTTTCGACTGTTATTAAGCCCTATTCATCTGAATTCAGTTTCCCCTCTTGCGCGAAAGCTTTGACGTTTCCTCAAATTATTAGAGAAAGAACACGATTCGTTGTACCGTTTTTTACTCTAAATAAGTCCTATTAATTGTGTCTGAATTCAGTTTCCCCCTCCCGCGCGAAGCGCGAAAGCTTTGACATTCGTTGTAACGTTCTCGACTCGTCTTAATTAAGTTTCTCCTTCCGCGCGAAGCGCGGATTTTTCGGCGTTTCATCACAATATAAAGAAAGGAAAACGATTCGTCGTACCGTTGTTGACTCTTAAACCTTGTTTGAATTTAGTTTCCCCGAAAATTTTAAACCTCTGATTTCTTTAGCTGATACTATAGGAAAGTGAAACTTCAGGAAAATACAAATATTTTAGTTGTAGTCACTCTCGAAGTCGTCACAGCGGAGAGACTTGTCGGCCGACCGACAATATACCGTGTGAGTCAAAAAAAAGTTTACACCTAGAAAATTGCTAATTGTTTTAAAAATCATCTATGAACAGTACATTATTATACACCTTATGAAAGAGTGTTTTATCCCAAATCATTTGGTACCAATTTTGTGTGGTATATGTTCACGCTTGGATGAACAGGTGGCATTGTTTGCGAGAGTGCAAAAATTGATGAAAACAAAAGCCTATAATTACATGTCAACTAACGACTATGACATTTGACCTTTGACTTACATACTCTAAAACCTAATCAGATTTTCGTCCTATGGTAATACATATTGTCACCAAGTTTGAAGTTCATACCTCAAGTAGTTCTTGAGATATCGTGATGTCACAGCTAATACCTGTAATTTCAGAGATTGAACCCTATGACCTTTGAACTTTGACCTTCATACCCCAAATTCTTATCAGATCGTATTCCTATTACGGTATACTATTAATTAAGTTCATACCTTAGGCGGTTCTTGAGATATCGTGTTAACGAGAAAGCGAGACGGACAGACGATCAACCCGAAAACATAATGCCGCCTGCACCACTTTCGGTGGGCGGTTTGCCGCGTCATGTCTGAACAAGCCTTTAAAAAGGCTGGGTATTGACCTTTACTTACCACCACCGCCAGAGTTACCACCACCACCCATAGCACCACCGCCATGACCGCCACCACCACCACCTGTTGAGGCGGGTTCGTTTTCACCGGGAAGGCACGCCAAGGGACTGCACTTGGTGAAGACTTTGCTGTTTGGTTTGCCCTTCAGGGTGAATCCAGGTCCAGTTTTGGAGATCTTAATGCATAAGAATTTGGTACTTCCACATGCCTGGCCATTCAGATCAAAATCGTAAGGAATACTGTTGAATCTGAGCACACCTCCTAGTTCAAAGTTTTGTCGAGCTGCGGATCCCAGTCTGAGATTAGCAGGGGAAACTTTGGCCTTCTTGCCATTCTTCTTAGGACTGCCCCATGCTTCGAGAGCCCATCCTGGATTGCCGGTGATATCGGTAGTGGTAGCCCTGTCGTAGACCACGTTGATGTCCAGGGTCATGTCATTACTGCGACCTGATCGAACAGCTGAGAAAGGGACGCGAACCACTCCAATGGTCGACACTGTGAACTGTGGCTTAGCCTCGGCTGTTGGATTGGAAGGGTTTGGGGTAGGAGAAGGGTGCACAGGAGGAATAGGATGGACAATACCACGAGAGGGAGTTGAGGTAGAGAGCAAATCAGCAGTCATGTTAACACCTATTCAATAGAAGCATAAATTAATCATGATGAAGTACAGACCATTTGAAACGATATCATAAATCAGGCAAAGCTACGTTACATACAGATTCATCAAGTGGAAAACACCAATTGCAAATCATTATGGACAAGCCGAAGGCATATTGTGTCCCAAATGTTGACAAGTTTCATGGGATATTCAATATAATAATCAACATTAGCATTATCATTATCCTTCATACTTCATCTGATCCAAGCTATAGTAGGGCTTCTAGATTACAAATTTTAGGAATACTAAAACCTGTCATCTAGGCGGTAACGTATAGAACAAAATACCTGAGCCTTTCCCTCATATTTCGTAAAATATCACAACACCATTAATTTTCATAGTAATATATGGCTAGTGTTGAACACATCAGACTATAAGGACAATGATGCCCTTTGTGTAACTCATGCAATCTTTACAGATCCCTGTCAGGACTCGTACTTGTTCCTTTAGAGTAAGCCCCCCCCCCCCCACCCCTCCTTTTCACACAGGGGTAAAATTCTTTAAAGCTGATTTCTCTAAAGAGCTGTAAACTAATCAGCTTTAGATACAACATCATTCACACACAGAAAATTTCGGTGCGGTTAATCGAGATTCACTGCTCTTTAAACGCTCAGTAGGGCCATTGCGCATTTACGAGCAGTGACTCACTTCTCGTAAATGTGCAATGGCCCTACTGAGCGTTTAAAGAGCAGGTCTAGTAAAGGACGTATATCCATTCCCACACAAAATGTCTTGCTCTCTAGATACGGGGTTCGTATCTGCATCCTGCTTTGACCGGCGTATGAATCGCGACTTTGTATCTGTCCGAACATCGTATAAACGACGTTCACACAAGGAAAATTTTCTTTAAAAATAATCAGCTTTAGATATGATGAATTTTACCCCTGTGTGAAAAGCCTTTCGAAGATGTGGGCAGCTACGACAATGGAAACAATGGGTACACACAAAGACACGAGATGCGTAGTCTAATTCACTATGATCGTATGCTTTTATACAAACAAAAAAAGGTTGTTACATCACACGCTCATGCACGTATACCAAATTCTTGAGTGCAACGTGACACATTTTACGCCAATCGAATACTCATTTAGAAACTCGGTATTACATAATTGATGTATTAAAGAGTGAAAATATATATCAAATAATTGAATCTTACCAATGCATCGGACTTTGACACAACCCATGAGGTTATCGGCATTATTATCTCTTGCCATCAGTTTGAAGTCAGGTTGTGGACGGTCCTTCTGGAGTCGGGCGCATAGGAACTTCATTTTCTTACATTTCACGTCAGGCCTCATTTCGATTGTATGTGAAAGTCTCTGAAAGTATGAGCATTAATAATGAAAACGATATATATTATGTATCATAATTATACACTTACCAACGTAAAAAACTCTCCGCCGCCCCTGATGATAGCGATAATAATAATAGTAACAACAATAACAATAAAAAAAAAATTATGAAAAAAAAATAATATAATACAGAAATTATAATAATATTAATGATTATAATAACGACAATGAAATAAATAATTAACAAGAATAATTAAAATAAGAAATATTAATAATACATTCATGATAATAATAGTAGGCCTAATGATAATAATAACGATAATAGTAATTATGATAAAGTGAAAATCTAAAATGTAAAGGAAGAATGAATATTGACAAGGCTATGATGACTGCGATATGAACATTTGATTCAAATAAACTGAATTAATGTTCTCTAATAACCTCCAACTAAAAACAAATTCGAAATCAAAGGTTTGTTCTATTTCTTTTTTAATTGATAATTGTTAATAGAATGTAGAATGTGCACAGATCCAAACACATGCTACGATCCACTTATCATCCATGACACACACCCATATCCGCGCACACCCTCACACATACACGAACCCACACCCACGTGTATAGCAGTACCTGGAACTTAAACTCGGGTCTCTCAGATCCCATGTCTACTGCGGTATCCCTTTCGAAGTCGCCCAAAATCTGATCGGTGGGAGAAATTTTGTCCTCGGTGTCTCTATCAGTCGCCGAGCCCCATGCCTGGACCTTCCATAGATTCCGACCCTGCAGGCATGAAAGTCATTAAAAAAGCAACATCAAAGTATCAAAGAGTGGCGAAAAAGGATTATATAGATATTGAATGCTCCGTAGTTTATGTTAATCAAACTATATACCATGCACGATCTCTCTAAGGTGAATGGCATAGTACTATTGTATTAGTACTCAACAATATGTTATGCAATATATTATGTATATTGTTGACTGCCGCACGGCAGCTAATCAGCCAATAAGACGCTTTCTAAAAAGACTAAATAAGGGAGTATCTCACGGTGAAAGGTCTTAATCTCGATGGTCAAACAGTAAAAGAGTTTGGAGTACATTTAAATTTGCGTGCAAAGTGCGCCGAGTGTATGCAATGACAATTTCATTACACGACATTCGTAAAAATTTGAATTCACAATTAAAATCTGTGCGTTCAGAAATTGTCGATAATGTCAGGGATTCAGAATCCACCGATCAGAAGTATATGTAGGATTTACAAAGCAACTGTAGATCTGGGGGGAAATGACATGCGTTACCTTCTCTCAAGTATTGCAATGAATACTGGATATGCTAAGAAACTGTGAATAATTATGAAGAACATTTCATTGTTTGTTCTGAATAACTGATCTGGATAAGGATGATATTTACTAGCTCATATTCATGAGTGGGATATGGTAAAATGAAGCAATAATTGGCTTAAGACAGAAAAGCATAGAGACACAATAATTGTTTGAGAAGATCATAATGGGGTCCCTGAGCCCGTGTTAGGACATATCCCACGGTAAAATTTGCTTCCAAAAAGAAGTGCATTCATATTATTTATTTGGGGTGTTTCAAATAAGGATTCTTATACAACAAACTAAATAATTTTGCTAGAAACTCGCCAACATTTTATATGATGTTAGAAAAAGATTTTTGAGTTGCAAATACCTCATATTGCACCTTGCACACACAAATTCAATATGGGATCTTTTGATATTTTAAAATGAAAAAAAATCACTTCATATGTTTCTCTCTTAAATCTATTTTATCTTAAAGTGGGACTGCACTACTTGTAGCTACTTGGTCCCTTTTTCTCATGAGAGCTGATTTGATGAGAAAATCACCTGCCAGTGACCATGCAGGGAGGTGTAATCCATCATGACCAAACTAGTGCTTTAAATCATCTGTAAATATGTACGATCATAAAGCAATGAGTAGTATGCGTCACAAAATGGGCTTACCCGAATGCCCATACTGGCACCACGGTTGTACTTGACAAGGACATCGAAATCGACTTCGTTTTGCTCTCCCTCACGTATTTCAATGCCTTCGCTGCTTGTAGGCCTTACGCTGTTCACTAAAATCTTGGGTGCTGTCAAATCAAATAATGTAATAAATTTTTTGCATTTACCTTTTACCTTGATTTTTATTAAGTTCCCTCTGAAGAACAGTACAAACTAAATTAAAGCGAACCTGCACGCACGTTTCATAGTTGTCAGTGTATGGATTTTCTTACTGCCAATTTGTTGAAGAAGTACACAATATACATAATCCAGACGTTTTTTTTTTCTTCTCATTTCGCCTTTTCAGAGGCTTCAGATGTACTACCACGAAAGTATATGTTCATCACGATGAAATAAATCTCCTACAGATAACATTGTAGTTATAGAGACAACGTTCACTACTGGTGAAGATGAGAACTTATTATCAAATTTTTCATCCAATTATGTTACTGTGAAAGTATCATAGAAGAAATTCTTTGAAATTCTTTGAAATGCATCGCTCTTAAAAGGCCGTCATGTTCGAAACATGAGAGGAAATGACTGAAGTATCACTGAGTCAATTTATCATCATTTTGATGATTCCAAACCTTCAAAATATACACGAAATCTTATGTTCCACATAATCATAATCAACCTTTTCCTATTGCATCAATACACTATAATTAAAAACGCGCTTGCATGACCAGAACTCAACTTACAGGTTGATTTAAAAAAAGATCATCCTAAACAGTTCTTTTGCACATTACGACATTACGAGTAGCATAAATGTGTGTACTGCAATGCCTCACTGTCATTTATATTAAACGTATGTAGAGTAGTGAAGAGTTTTCTTCGTGAAAAAAAAATATTCATAATAAAACGAGGACTTACTTATTTTACATTGCTGAACCTTGCAGGATACCCTAGTGCCTCCGTCTGATTTCGAATCTCGTATGGTATATGGCGGGTTGGGACGACTGCTCTTGCCGAACTCGAGACACAAGTAGCGCTTTCCGTCACATCCGGCATCTGAGATATTTACTCTACAGGAGGAAGAAATGTGTACACTCAACATATGAGATAAATTAAGTTGGGCAACCACTTGTTGGTTAAAACTCTACCTATTTCAAAGCTATTTGTTAAGCAATTCAGCTCAAGAGAACTTGACCAAATTATGACATTTTTTTATCTTTACCTAAGGCCTAAAAAAAAAAAAAAAAAAAAAAAAAAAATATGTTGCCCTTTGCGACCGACCCCAAAATCTTGAAATCTACGGTCGGCTTTAAAAAAAAAATTACCATTTTTTTGAAGAAAAAAAATGTATTAAAGCATTCAAAACTGAAGAATATCAGCCCAAAGAGGGGGTAAACAAAAATTAATAAAAAGATTTCCGACCGACCGACCCATGTTTTGGCACCTAAAGGGCAATATAACATCTTTCTTTTTTTAGGCCTAATAATGAGGTATATAATTACCAACGATTCCTGATGAATGAGGGTTGAGAAAGACTTACTCATGTTTGTACTAATTTTATCAGGTTTGGTAAAAACGCAATAGCTGGTCCAAACAAAAATTAGCAGACAGTGAAGGGTAAATAGCTTTAATTTCTGGCAGTATGTTAACGCATTATACCCTCTATTTCCCTTTTTCTCGTTCTGTATCTACCCCCCTGTATCTTTTCTTTTATCCAAGACCTTGGTAATCATTACTAAGATCAAAATATATCAATAGACTACAATGCAGCCTATCTTTTTTTTTTGAAAGAAAGGTTTAGAAACATCACTGAGTGAAATTTTAAAAAAAAAAATCACTTTATTTTCTTTAATTTAAATTTACATTTTTCGCCGACATTTCAGCCTGCGGTCGCCAAATTTGTTATAAAATTATTTGATGATCAGACAATGTTTGCAAAACATTCAGCAAATGAAAATACATATCATAAGCCTTTTGAAACTAAATATAACCCACCAATGACTTTTAAATCACAGTAAATATAAATCAATGATTCGTACCTGGGATTTCTTATTTGGAAAGTATTGGGCCTTCCTGATACAATGGACCTTGATCTGTCTCCCATATCTAAGACCTGGGGGGCTTCGTCATTACGACTGGTCCCTTGGGCGTCGTCACTCGCGAAAACTCCCATCCTCCACAAGTTTGTACCGTCGAAAGTAGATCCAGGAGACACGTCTAGGTTAACAGTAGCCTCAACCGAGTCAAAGAACCCCCCACGAGACAATTCAGGCGCCCATGCTAGGCCAGTGATGTCAATATTTTTGTTCCTGTTGTCTTCTACATTTGACCCACTACCACCGTTTCCATGACTACCACCGCTAGGACTAGTACCACCGCTAGGACTAGTACCACCGCTAGTACCACTGCCAGTACCACGATTATTGTTTCCTCCGCTGGTACCAGATCCCCCTGTTCCGTGTCCGCCCGTCGATCCTGTATTTACATTAAAAAAAGTACATAAGAACGTACACCGAAATCATAAACAAAAAAACAGATAAGGGTAATCTGTGCACATGACACCTACCTCTACTTTTCCTTCCATAACGACTTAACTGTCAATGTAAAATATCTTATATAATTAAACAATACCTTTTCATATGAAAAATCCTTTTTTTTTTTAAACAGGCATAGTTTTAGAGAATAATTTTGTACTTTTGTACATGTTTTATCAAAATATCATTGGTTATCATGATTTAATTATGGCATTTCCTGTTTAAAAAAAATTGTTTTGTTGTACTCTTGTTCTTATAAATAAATATCTGCATAACGACATGAATGTCATTAGCATCAGCAAAAATCACTCCATGTCTACATTATATACATCTGTTCTTCAATAAAAGCAAACAATCACCTAATTGATAATAAAAAGCCTAGATTATGGACTATCTCGTCACGTGAACCCGTTCAAAGCTACGATGATGCATGTGCATGTAGAACACCCTTAAAGCGATACTGAACTGATTAACTTTCTCCCCTTAGCGCAACTCAATGCCCAATTTCCACTTTGCAGACAGAGGACTCGATGCGAGAACCAACAGCGCAACAAGTTTTGGACCATACTGCTACAGCTTAACTGAGATGGCGCCACAGGGGATGCTACTAGTACAGTGCGGCCGTGATCTCGACAGTAGTGAGTTATTACCTCCCCGTAAAAGTGCCGGAAACGGAATTGCCCCTGTCATACCATGCAAATGATCACCTTTACAAACACAAAATATGAAATTCCCGTGAGCTTACCACTGTCACACTGTTGTTCTTCACAGAGTACGATTGGCGACATGGAAAATTCGGTGGATGGATTGTCTCCTTTAGCGTACTCAAAACATAAATAGCGGTAGGCATTATTGCAGCCCAGCTGATCGGCATCACGGAAAGTAAAAGAGCCAGACAGCTCCATGATGTTATCATCCCGTCTTGTAGGTGGCTGGAGAGTTTTGCGCCTGCCAAGATAATCGAGGATGTCCGGGACTTCGCCACTTCTGTGAATGCAACGAGTAAGTGGAAAGGTTAAAACATCTTTCGAACAGAAATTAAAAACTTAAAGAATAAAGAACTGCTATACAATATTCTAAAACAGAAAGAAACAGCTGGCGAACATAGGAATTCGGTAAGGGGTAAGAATGAACTTTGAATAGAATTTGGAATTCTCAGTTTGTGGTTCATTAATTGTGCTAAAAAAGCATTGAGAAAAAACAAATGTTTCAAGTTTTGGATAGCTCAAGAAAATATACCATAGGATTCGGTTGAAGTGGGGCATACCAAAAATGTACCTAGGTTTTAAGAATACAGCATATGGTGGAAGAACTACTGTTGAACACTTACCTTCGTCCTTCGCCCCGTGAATTTGCACTGCCAAAAGCTCCGACCCTCCAGAGTCCATCGCCGCTAATGATGTCCGTATTCTCTGCGGGGGTCACACTTAGAGTGGCGCTCACACGTGTGTTTCTTCTGCTTAGTGAGGCGCCGATATTGGTGTACCTGGCGGTTTTCCCCGAGGAGCTGCCCCCGTTGCCCCTGTTTGAGGGCTCGTCTGTAGGCACATAACAATAATAATGATAATAATAATCATCATCATATTAAAAATATTACGAATAAGATTGATTTACAAACCTAACTACTCTACTCCACTCTACTCTACTGCGCTACCACCACATGTACAAGTACCTTCTACATGTAGAGGATTGGAATTCATGTTCAAAATAATAGACTCTACTTTCAGAAGAATAATCAAACCACTTCTCTGGAGCTAAATGGTTTAAATTCCAAAGTGAATCATCCATATAGACCATATTTATATGACTCCTAAAAAGGTGGCTTTCATCACCTCTGTTTTAACCCTTACTTCACCGGGTGACAAATTTCGCAACATAAATGTTGACCCGCTGCATTTGTTCACGCCACACCACGCGCTGACCCATTACTTTTAAGTCTTGTGATTCTTTTAGCATCATTATAGAGTATCGTAAACCTCTGTGGCCTCATACTAGCTTGAAAACGGGAAATTTGTGTAAAAAACAAGATGGGAAATTTCCTTATGTTTTTTTAAAAATAAGTAATGACATTAAGATGTAATATTCATAATGGATAGTCATTCAGAGACCTAAAAAATGACAAACTGTAAGTAAGAAGAACATTGAAATACACGGGGAAAATGTAAAACATTAGCATACATAAGTACTCAAAATGTGGAATTTATTTGAGCTTACCACCGCTACACGTCTGTTCCCGGCACATGGTATTCGACTGCATTTCAAATGTCATGGAAGGTCGGTCTCCTTTAGCAAACTCGAAACACAGGTACTGGTAGTCAGCTCTGCAACCCAAATCGGCTCTCCGGGGGAAATCGAATTCGCCATTCAGAGTCATTTCGCGACCAGCTTCCATAGGAGCACGCAGTGATTGTCTGTCAAGGATGTTCCTTACTTCGCCGTTCCTACGAATCCGACCAGAGTAATAAGAAAACACAGTCAGTTCAGGACGCTATCTTATTTAAACTTGCGATTAATCGTTAATTATTTGCGATTGAGTTCAAAGACAACTATGTACATAGGAGATAGGAGACTGCAAACTTGCAATTGATTAAAGGATTTTCGATTGATTTGGATCAATCTCAACTCTTTATAAGACGGGGCCTAGAACTTTTTTTTTGCCCATGCAATTTCAAAACTTTCACAAAGCTTTCGTTCAATCATGAAAAGACAAGAGTTCGTTCTCAACTTTCTCTTTTTTCTTTCATAATTTGTATTATTATTATTTAGTTATTTTTTCGCCGGGGGAGGGGGTGGGGGAGTCTCAACCTGACATAAAGCCTATGTAGCATTTAATATTCTCGCCGTATTCGGCAAACACTCTGTTTTGCGAGGTCAATATACCTTGTATAACGAATATCAGTATGGGGGACATTGCCATAAAGTAAACAAAACCAAAATATAAAAAAATATATAACGTATGTTAATCTGCCTATTAAACGACATTTTTAAAACGACAATTATACCCTTTAGTGGTGGATGCCCAATAATAGTTATCGTACAGATGGGTCTTCATCGCCGACTTGAAAAAACCCTTAACAAATAAACTCCAGTGGATCGATACATGTATGATTTAAATCTGATGAACATTATCAATAGGGTTAATAGAAATGTTGGGCCGTGATTTCACCTAGTGCCTGTGCCTTGAGCATTTCTACTGGCGAAAGCTGAAACTTTCCACAGTCCATCACCAACGATTCTAGTGGTATCAGACGCAGGGGTTATAGTAAGTGAAGCACCAATCTGGTTTCCACTTGAAGGCATGTCTATCTGAGCGCCCATCCTCGTGTACTTGGCGGTATCACGTATAACAGCTACGTACAGTAACAAAAACAGAAGACAGGCAGGCTCACATAAATGCAAATATTAAATCCACTGCAAGTACTGAATCGATAATTTTTCATATCAGACTTACATTATTTTGACTAAATTTGATGTATATTGAAATACAGTTTCTCCTAGGCCCCTGTAACACATTGCGTTCTGGTTTGGGGTCCTAATTGAGGTGATCTCAAATACGCGATTAAGAGAACCCATAGAAAAAACAGACATTAATGATAATATTATTGTACACTACAAACGGGAGAGTTGTCCGTGACGTCGTCCCAATCCACTGACCAAATTGTTAATATTTTTAGACATTATCTCTTATTATTGGTCCAATTTCACTAAACTTTAGCCGTCCGGATTCTCTTGTTGCTCAGCTTTTTTACAAATGAGCTTATTATAAAAACGGAGTGCACGTCAAAAAGACGTCGAAACAGTTTACGAGCGACATCATTGCTTTTTATTCCTAAACAATAATTATTTTATAATTGTTGATAGGTACATATTTTGATGTAGGCCTATGATAAAAAGTTAAATGTGAAGAACAATATACGACACGAAACAACACGTCTACACTATAACTTAAATGAATAATCACAAACATTTATCACGGGGTATAAGACGTCTTGTTCTCTAAAAATAATGCATCTCGAAATATTTGTACTACATAGATGTCGCAATATAAGTGCGTTATACAATTATCATTATTACTATAACTATGGAGTAAGGGTATTACTCAAGATCCATTTAAATTTGTCATTCAATAATTAAGCTCCATAGTATCATTTTTAACGAGTTTCATTGTCTACATGAAAATTGAAATGATAATTTGTTTTACGCTCCTGATAACCAACAAAAGCACTTGCAGTGTATCAAGTAACTAATGTCAAAAGATAAACCTTAGGCATTTGTAATGTCCTTGTCTGTCACCTATGGAAACATGCGAAGAAGTACGAATATGAAAACGTATTACGTTATCCGAACATGATTTGTATGGGACATACAATAGGGTATTGGAGATTGCCCTTGAGCTGATATTTCCAAAATGGTTGCGATCGTCTTGTTATTACACCGGTCAGTTACGATCCTGCACGTTAAAGGTCAACGCACACACTTTCTTTCACTGAAGAGCATTCCAGAAAGTCCCTGTTTTTCAGGCACATAAAATACACATAAAATACAGTCAAACCTGCTTTAGTGACCACCTGTCTGCAAAGACCACCTGTCTACAAAGGCCACTTTTGTGTTTCTCTTAGGTGGTCGCTATAGACAGGTTTGACTGTATATTGTTCACTACAGACAAACGAAAGCTAAGAAACCGAATACAATGTATTTTGCAGTATACCAACCGCTGGGTCTACCCCTGAGACACGTGGCCCGTTGACAGGAAACAACTGCCCCTCCTCCAGGTAAAGGAATATTAAAATTTGGATCGGGGGAGTCCCCTTTACCGAACTCAACGCACAGAAACCCAATATCGTTACACCCAACCCTCCACAACTCAAACTGTGTAGCGACGTCAAACTCGAGGGGTGCTGCAGCATGCATAGGTGCACTGGCATCACGTCGTGCCAGGATCTGCCTGCGATAGGCGACTTTACGTCCTACTCCAGTTTGTGACGAGCTTCCGAAGATGCCCAATCTCCAAAGACCGTCGCCATAGATGTAATCGGTCGTTGGGGATGGGGTTATCCATGCTTGGATATTGACGTCGCTTGACTCAGCATCTCGATATGTTGTTGGTTCTACGGTCCATCGGAAGTTGGTAAGTCTTGCTGTCTTGAGGTGATCGTTCTGATTGCTGACAGGACGAGGACCTGGATTGGGACGTGGGTTGGGGACAGGATCGGGATTGGGATTCGGTCGTGGTCTTGGTCTTGGAGCACGGGTTGGCCTTGGATTTGAATCTGACGTGGGTGAAATATAATATAAGATTAATACATGATACCAAGACGGCTACCCCTAGATTTCAAAACCCTGCAAAATAAATCCCTAGGACATTTACATCCCCTTTGACAATAAGCTCGCTTCGTTCGCTCGCGATATTTGGCATACGGGTACGATATTTTCTGGCAATAGGCCCTCTCGGGTATATGTACAACTATGTGTAGGAGGGAAGGAAGACAGATCCTCTCTGATGAAGTTTAGATTGGGGTAAAGCAAACAAAAACTCCTAAAAGGGTGCCGTGGCTAAAAACAAAAACAACAATTGAATACGCTGATTTAGTAGACTAAAGACTGGTGTCCCCCCCCCCCCCCCCCCTCCCGATGACTGAGCCACGTTACGCCACTGGTCATGGGATACTAATTCTAATATAAAACATGATATTATATGAAAGTACGTCGCATGCATTAATGTACCTTAAAACATAACCGATCGAAAAGCGACAAACCTTATAGTCATGTACATGTACTATAGGACTGTTTTGAAGAAGAAACAAACAACAATTTGAATGTTTGTATTGCAGTCGGGCTTAAATCACACTAATACAAATTTTTAAAGACAATGACAAATTTAGATCAATCTTCATAAAAATGTATAGCCCTTGACGCTGTAAATAAAATAGCTGTAGGCCTACACTCACCTCGACATCGATACAGGTGACACTCGACGAAGTGGTTATTGACAATTGGTAGATTAAAGTTGGGTCGCGGTCTATCCCCTTTTGCAAATTCAAGACAAACGTAGCGTTTGTCCCCACATCCAACTCCTTCCATGTTAAAGTTTGTGATTAAATCAAATATCAAGGGTGACGACACGGTTAGTTCTCTGCTCGTTTCATAGTCATCGAGGATCTGACGAACATATTGGTGCCTAACTCCGCCGCCATCTCGCTCGCCGCTCAAATACAACCCCACCCGCCACAGACTCGACCCATGGATGTAGTCGGTTGCAGCCTCAGGCATAACGATGAGCTTAACACGGACTGTTAGGGCTGCTCCTGGAGCTCCTAAAGTTGACATTGGAGTCAGCAGCCACTGCATACTAGAGAAGCGAGCCGACGGCAGACCCGCAATATTGCCGCTTGTGTCTGGGTTGGAACGAGGAAAAGGGAAGCAAATGGGGGCTGGTCCAAACATTGTGCAGACCAAAGACGACAGAGAAAGCATCGACCAGGTAAAATATTCAGTTTTGTGCAAGTCACCAACATTCATGCTTCAGGCAGGTGGAAGGCTGCATCCATCTTGTCCATTCTACTTCGTTGATGTTACGGTGCTCCATTTCAAACGGTGCAACAATGCATTCAGTGCGTGCGGCGTATGCAATTACCAAGCAATATTTCCTTACTTTGATCAAAAAGTTGGCGGATGCAATAAAACAACATTCTGAGGCTTAACATTGACATAAACATGAAAATCAATATCAAAACATCAACCATTAGTTTCAGAGTAAGACACCTATTTTACATGTTAGTAATTGTGTTTGCCTATGTTAGTTTAATGCACGCGCGCGTTTTTGTTACACGCATTGTGGGAAACATTTACATTTTAATTCCCTCGCTACGCCCTTTATGAAAATGCATCACTCCATTTAGAAAAAAAGGTTAACTATGTGCCAACATGATTTGCATACAATTCTACATCATTTGCCATTGATGCGATATAATTTCTGATTTAAAATCGCATGAATTGTATTCGAAATATCATTTCAACTCAAAATATTATGTTTTATGTTAGACATAGGCATTACAAGTAAACTTATGTCGCCGACCGAATACGATGTGACTGATCGACGACTGTCCCGATATGGTAAGTCAACATTATCGGGGAAGGGGAGGGGGAGGAGGAGAGCTGCCGTTCACAGCTGCTGCTCACTATGATTGGACTAAATGGTAGTTGTTTTAGCACTGGTCGGGTATATACACTGCATCTCTTCCAATTAACTTTTGTACAAAAAAGAGAGCATCGTTGAGACCGACGAAATGACAATATTTCAGGTTTCTCGGTCTACCGTGGTAGCTTGCGGCCCCCACCATATTTTTGTTGTTAATATACACACACTCCCGGTGAGAGGAAATGCACTTCAGCTAGAAAGAATAAGAAATTTGACCACTCATACATTCACACTGGACTCATGCACTGCACTTGAAAATGTATCACCAGACTGTGCAGCTAATTGACTCGTTCCTGAATAAAGACACAAGAAGACTAGGAGGTGGTAAATATTTTATCTACATGTAATTCTACCTAGCTAACATGCTACAATCAACACTCATAGTTTATGGTTAAAGTTAGATAGTACATGATTGGGTTTGAAATCACTCATGTTTGTTGTACACGACTGTATTATTAGCATCGCTAATCAAGTGTGTCCGTGCAATACAAAGCCAATAGTTCATGCGCCAGTGAAACAAAGGTTTGATTGCACTTTTCATTTTGCATCCACCCCATTTTTTTACGATATCCATCTCAGAAGGCGCGTCAATAACCGAGCCAATCGCTGACCCAGTCCTGTGTCAGGCAAATGACGGCTCATGTGCAACGCAACGGTTATTAGCAAAATAATAAATGTGTCAAACAAGATCGCGATCGAGCTAAAGCATGCCTTTACACACTAAATCACATGTCAACATGCATTTAAATACATGTATATGCAAACTATTGAAACATTGATATTCACATTTACTTGAGGTCAAGGTTTCCTCGAACCCCTCCATAAATTATACTTTCTTCTCAGAGTATAAAGATTCCATCTCAAACTTCCATGTGAATACCTCCAGCAGGAGAGCTCAGAGAATAATTCACAACATCAAAAATAATCTTGACTAATTCCACAATGTCTAATACATATCTATTGAGACTGAATGGCGTAACTATTATATTTCACTCCATTAGATGCCAATTCTATAAATATTCGTTGAAAATATTTAGGTACGTTAAGTCTATCTTATTTTGCACCGATTTTCTGATTATTGCACAATGACGACAACAATCGTAATACATATACATAACTGAATGATACATGGTTTAAAGGAACACAATCGTAATCGACTTCGCGTAAATTTGTAATCAAATTTTATTTACCTTACGTAAAAATATTTCCCTGGTGGGATCATAATCATTTAAATAAATCAATGTCGGTCATAAGTAGATTTAGCTTTGGCACCTTTTGGAATACTCTCTTCATGTTTCCCATAATAAAAAACATGGAGAGATATCAATAACACTACAAGACAATGACATCAAGTTGGAAATAATAAATGACGTAAGGTGTTCTTCTTTTATTAATTTATATTGCATGTATATGATTTGACTTCAAATTACATTACGTAATGGAATACATGGGGATGATCTCAGTGTACATGACTTCATAGGTTCCAACAGAATGGTTAGACCCTATCGGATGATGTACAGGCATTGTTACCTTGGCAATTGAAGCGGTTGCATACTTTTAAGATGCCTCCACTGATCGGAATGGTAAAATCCACGGACGAAGCTTCATTCCTGCGCATTTCAACGCAGAAGTATGGGTGTGGGTTTGGTCCATCGCACATAAGTCTAGTGTCGAAATCAACTTCACCGGACAGAACGAGATTGGTTCCATACTGACTGTAATGGCAAAATTTAAGAAAGGAAAGTTGAATCAGTCGTAATTGTTGTATTACCCTCTTTTGTTCTCAGTACAGACAAGAAGGGTTTTCTTTAATGCCCGTTGTACATGAGGCATCTTTTTTTTTTGACGAAGTAATTAGTAAGCAATTTCGCAGTACTTCATGCTTCGAGCGTGTGTGACAAATTCATCCATAAACAGTGAAAGGAAAATGAGCTTTTGGCACATATGCACTCTTATCTTCCATTGGCTTCATTGGTGTGGGTTATAGCATGGCAAAATGGTAGGTAATAACATGATGAATGGAAGAATGTATCAAAACAGAGTAATGTAAATATCGTACTAAAACTCAATGTAAGTTAATTCAGAGTTATTTCATCAATGAATCAAAATATCGAAGTGAATAGAGTGAAGCATAGTTTTCAAAATTTGGTCCAAAGGTGTACCATTCCGGCATCTTCTATCATGCCTTTCCCGTAAACCAGATTTCTAGCAAGCGAGCGTAAAAATATAAATGTATAACAGTCTCAGGCAATGCACATTGTGCATATTAACTTACATTGATACTAGCTTGCTGATAATAATACTATTGCATGAGTTCTTGTACAGCGCTCATATCTGTCAGACTTGATGACACTCCTGGCCCTCTCGATTATTACCCTGGCTTTAACATGGCTGCCATTACGGCGCTCTATAGCATTTCAAGGAATTAATTCATGCCAGGTACCCATTCACATCACCTGGATTGAGTGTGGCAAATGTAGATTAATGTCTTGCCCAAGGACATTAGTGCCGCGGACCTTGCGATCCACAGTCCGGTGACGTATCAACTCGACCAAGACACCTCTACTCGAATATAAGATAACAATTGCCAAAATATTGGGAGATTAGAAAACACCTGTTCGACTAGCAATGCCCATGAATTCATCAATAAGGAATAAGTACATGTTTCGTGATTTATGGTGACACATCGACATATCTAAAAAATTGCGAATTTTCTTACTAGCTAGGCGTCATCATAGCTTGCTGAGTGAGTATGTTTTGCCTGTATCCATACTTGGTAGGGTTCTCAGCTCGTTGGGAATCCGTTGCATAGACACCCATCTTCCATAGGTTGTTTCCCCTGATGGTATCACTACCGGTGTCTGGTGTTAATGTCATCGTTACCTCGATATTAGCACTAGGGGATCTTACGCTTTGCCAGTTTGCTACCACCCGCTGGAAGAGGGCATTCTTTTGAGACTGCGCCGCTGGGGTTTCAATTAATTTACGGGGGGTGGTGGAATAAAGGGTTGTAGAAGAAAATAGAACATGCAAATTATTACAGTATCAAACGGCTATTCAAAAAATATATCTTCTTTTCCTGTAAGGAAGAAAATAAGTCAGTTAAGAGTGAAAATATCAACTTCGCAATCACACTCTCACAAACTCCACCATTCACTTCACCTGTTCTGTCCGATTCATACCAACTTTGACATCGCACACACATTACCCGCTCATGCACCTCGATCTACACCATCACAACATACAAAAACGAACTACATTTGAACACTAACAAGAGGGTAGGGTTGACAAGGAAAGGTTTTATTTTTTTACAAACTAAATAAGCATAGGTTGGCTAAAAGGATATGCGTAATGACAGTAACATAACAAAAACACACGAGTTGAACAGAGTTACAAACACAATACAGCAAGCATGAAGTAAGGCGTCGGGAGTGGGATAATTTTGTGGTTTTTCATGTACACTTACCCAACTAGAAGCAATCGTAGATTCACGAAACTATAAGAAATCGTTTCTTGTTAATATGATATACACTAAAATCAGAAGAAAAATACATGGGTAAAAAATGAAACAAATATTACGACACGGGGAATATGGTAAATTTAACGAGATTCATTGTTCGAAATCTTCATTCCTGAATTTGGAATCACGCAGCTAGCGCTTAATCTTAGCCATGTGGCAAATATCTATTTCGATATCATTGTAGCCATTTACTCTCGAATTATGGGTAATGCTATTATCCAACTTGTCTATAATTATGAGTTATCTCTTTATCTTGAGGAAAGAATGGCAGCGTTAGATGGCGACTACGCATGCAAGCTTGAAACAGCAGACTCACCTTGGCAAGTTATTCTCTTGCATGAAACAGCTTCGTCATTACGCAACGGTAAATCAAAGTCCGGGTTTGGAGAGTCTCCCTTGGCGAACGAAATGCAGATGTAGTTGAACTCTGACCCTGTGCATCCCATACCAGTTACGTCGACGGAAGAGAGCACGTCTACAAAGTCCAGTGGCATCTGTAAAATGAGGGAAATGAGAAATTTCTGCAGTCCTTTTCCGAATGACTCAGTATCCGAAAGATATAAAGTTTGGATAACAATTATTAGTTAACATTAAAGATCGTAGTGCAATCAGGTAATTTCTTACTACTCTTCATTTAAAAAGGAAAAGTCATGTTCCATCTGCATACTTACCCCGGGAGTAATAGGAGTCGACGAAGCTGCCTCGGTTAAGATCTGCTCCCGATGCTGTCCTCTGATAGCACCTCTGTCTGGACCATTTTCGCTGGTGAAAAATCCCAATTTCCACAGGTTGGTACCGTTGAGCGGGGACGATCGTTCTGAAGTAGCAATTGTGACGCTGATGCTTACATTGTTTGGGCGGCCGATGTTGTGCTCAAGCAGATGTAAATCCCAGTCGAGTGAAAGCAGACGAACGACTGGTTTTGAAGGACCTTTGTATCATAGAAAAATTGCTGACAGAATCAAATATTGTTCAGTGACAGAACGTTGACAGGAGTGGATGCAGGCAACCAAAGATCGGGTAAATGATAAGAGAGTTGTGATTTTTTTAAAAGTCAAGATCCTTATTAATATGGGGAGTCTCTCGCTGCAGCCGTATTGGTAAAACGTGATGGCGCACGTGTGCAGAGCTAAAGTTTTCTAAGAGGGAAGACGCCTATAAAAATGTTGTCAAATTGGGGGAGGTACTAAATTATCATTTGGAAAACTACAGTTGCTTTTGAACGAGCAAATACCGCCATTCTCATCTTATGATAGAGTAGCCATACTTTTAACGTAAAGTGTGATACTCGTAATATATTTTAACAGACGGTTGAAGAAGAAATGTTATCAGCACCCCGTACCATTGGTGCAAGCACTTCGTAAGGTTATCGTTACTGAATATGGTGATTATGTATAAAGAGAACGTATTAAACATGTTCCAACACAGACAAAATCTATGTATGCATGCAGTTGTCTTTGTAACAATCGACAATCCCCAATTCGTATTAGCCACTTTTATACGTCAGTCACACCTCCAAACCCACCTAAAAAACGATTAATTCTTGGCCATACGAAGTAATGTAATTTCATGTTTGACTTGTTCTTAATTTAGTGACAGTCTTTAGGATGTGAAAGCGGTTTACATTTCTCGTACATGCTATGTAGGATTAACCAATTTGCTTACCTGGACATGACACGGATTTGCAGAAGATAAGGGGTTTCTGCGCATCGTTGTGAAAGACGAAATCTGGTCGAGGTTCGTCACCCTTCGCGATCTCGAGGCATATATACTTGAACTTCGAGCAGCCGAGCTTCATAATGTCAAACTGAGTTGGAAGAGACGGAAAGTTGATTTTTCCCCCGGGTATGACAGGTACAGATGCCTGGGAAGGATCGAGGAGCTGCCGTACGTAATTAAACCTCTCATCGGAGCTCCCATTGGCCATAGGGCTGCCGAACAATCCTACTCGCCAAAGACCTTGTCCGCGAATGACGTCACTGTCAGGACTGAGTTGGGCATTCAAATCAAGTACGATGTCACTGGGAGCGCTTCTACGGGCGGCCATCACTGTAAGCCCCCAAGTGACTGGTCCAACCGCCATACGGAGCAAACTGGCTGGCAGAAAACAAATTACAAAACAAAAGTCTTGAGTTCATCATGGTACAGATGGTTTAGAATTAAAACGTAATGACTCAAGTTATGCCACAAAATCAACGTTTGCTGTAGGTATTGGCTTGGATGAAAGCAGCTAAATCTGATAAACAAATTAGGAGTAATTGTTGCCGGATCTACAACTTGTTTACGCACAAGACCAACTGAACTAGCCTATACAACTCGGAAAATATGATTGAAAAGGGTTTATGCCTGTTCACTACTCACCTAGTGGGTCACACGGCGCCGCCCGGCAACTTGTGAAGACCTCCTTCCCACTGTTGGTTTGGAATGGAAAGAAAGGTTCCGCATTATTGCCACGAGTGAACTCCATACACATGAAGTGGAATTCGTTACAGCCAATCGTCCCAACGTCGAAAGGAAACCGGGCTCGGATTGGAAGCGGAAGGCCAGATACCAGTATCTGACTCGCACTTTTTCCTTCCAGAATCTGCCACAAATGAATCAAAATGTTAATCAGCAACTGATAAAGAATAGAGACTGTGATTTGTCTCTTTCATTGTACAAAATGTCTTGAAAATAGACTTAAGAACGTTTGCATCTAAATTTCAACGCTGCCCATTAAAAATATTTGTGAATAAGTGCAAGTACATTACTTAGACTTAGTGCCTACTCTATGAGCTTGCAATGCTGTCTCTGTTTAACGTAAACGACACCGACAGCCGCTCCGAAGAGATAGTGGCTACTCCTTAAATTGCTTGGTCAAGGAAACACCCGTAAGTCACCATTTATTCATCATGCTTTATACAGAGTATTTTGGGAACAGTTCCCACCTGTGGAATGTATCCAAACTTTGGTCCTGTTCCATTGACGTTCATGCTGCCAAATACCCCCATGCGCCAGAGATTCGTTCCGGCCACGCTCTCACTGGACTCGTTTGCAAAGAGGAAAGCTTCCATTTCCAGCTCGGTCAGTTCTCCAGGCTCATTGCTCACCACTCCGGCTGACCAGAACATACTCTCCATAATTACTCCTGATGAGCGAGAAATTTATATTGAAATATAGTTAGGTTTTGAGGTAAATAGTACCCATTGATAATGCGCATTGCACACGAGACGTCATTTGCTAACGTAGCACCGCGTCATTTACTGAAGACGCATCAACAACAGGTGCGGTCTTTGACGAACCATATGAGAGCCGTATCGTATGTACGGTAAATGCACATTGTACGGTGGAAATATCGTACTGAATGACTGGCACATACATAATTATTTTCATTCATCAGCGTAGGTAATAGCGCAACAGGAATAACGCTTCGAGTGTAATGAGCTATGTTGTCTTGTATGACTGGAATATCGATTACTCCACAATGGATTTTGACTTTTAAAATTCAAAGACTAAAGCTTACCTATATTGTTTTATTCAAAACAATGGATGTGTTATTTACATTTAATATCAGCAAATAAGATTTCTATGAATGCTCTTGTATGCACTTTAATGTTAATCAGACACAAATTAATGTATATGCATCAAAGAAAAGGGCTTCTTATAGAAAGTGTATGGATAGCATTGCTCTTATAGTGCTGGCACATATACATATGATTTACACATTATGATTTAATCTAAATAAATATCACACTAGAATGTGGCTATTCTAATATAGGCCTACGATGAATAAAGGTGCACAATAGCCAACACAATCCCAATATCATTTCACCTAGCTGACCTGCGTGACTTTAGACCTGACAATTCCATTTATAACTAACCTATTCGACATTCGCCATAGTAGGCGACCCCCACGTTTTGTGACAGACATCTTACTATGTTGTCGATTTCGCAGGAACTCGAGTAGGTGATTCCGTCATTGCCACAGACCGGCTCAGCATCGCCAGGACAAGGGAGGCGACATGTTCTATCCACTCCTAGAAAGGAAAGAAATAGTTTCGATCATAGCGTATCGAGAAATATAGTGCGGAAAATGGAAAATATTCGTTATTCTTATATATTTGTATTCTACGTTCATTCAGCTTTCCATTGATATAAAGATGTATTTTCATCGAATAGAGCTCGAAAAATGATCATCCGACAGCACTTGACCTTTAACCCGCTAACTCTCTACCGCCACTTTCTGTCTCCCTCCATCGACCAATCTTATTCATAAATCAGGGTCGGTGTACATGGGAGAAAAAAAAGGTGGCATGAACTTCGGAGAAAGCTGAGATCAGCGAATCTCTGCCATTGCTTCAAAAAACACTTTCCATGTGTTCAACCCCACGGTTCGATTAGTGTATTATCCTCATGACGCGTCTTGATGGTTAGATGAATCGGTGGGTGTTACTTTCTTCACCTTAATACTATTGTACAATCCCAACCCGATTACGATGTTCCCCGTCCTTCTAATACCTTTTCCCTTGGTTCATAAATATTTATTTTCATCAGCTAGCTTTGTTTCTTCTTTGATATATTGATGGAACAGACCTATAATGCAGGATATGTGGAAAATATGGGGAGACCATACACCACATTGTCTCTGGCTGCCCAGTACCAGCAAAGATCTAGCCAGCAGCATACCTGCACTGCAAGATTTGCCAGCATTACAAAAACAAACCTTCTGAAATGGTATAAACGCTTTCCTCGAACAGTAACTGAAACTGTAACTTCACCTGGGTGGAGAGTGGCAAGTGTAGAGTGATGTTTTGCTAAATGACATTAGTGCCGCGGCGGGACTCGAACCGCAAACCATGTGACCCAAAGTTCGGTGATGCATCCACTAGACAACGACACCTCTACCTCTTTGTTTGCATACATAATTTCTACCTGATTGTTTTTGTTTGATCCTAAACTAAACGGGCTGGAAAATGAAAAAAAAACATATAGAAAAGAAAAGAAGAAGATACATGTATCTTACCATCACCGGTTCTCCCATAGCACGGTATCTCGGTGCATAGAACAGCGCTTCCGGTTAATGATGTAATAGTGAGTGTGTAGGGTGGGCGAGGGTTATCTCCCTGAGAAAACTCTACGCACAGGTACAGGAAGTCACTACATCCTACCTGTATGGTGGAACAGACAATGGTTATCTAATTGAAGACCCGTTATTGTTTTTGTTTTTGTATATATTGATATCTCTATTAAAAAAAGTCATATTAAATGGAAAGAACTCATATCGTACGGCATATATTGACGACAATTCGAATTTCAATATTTTTTTCCTCTCTCTCTCTTACAATCCATCATCATATACATTGGCTTTTTCCTAAATCCAACATTAAGAGGGCATTGGTCTTACTTTGTAGTTGAAATACGAATTTGGAAAGCTATTAATTTGTGGGAGGGTGTAAGATGAGTCAACTTCTTTTGGTTCATCCCCCTTCTATTCCTTCTCTCTCTCTCTCTCTCTCTCGCTCGCACTCTGTTTTTTTTTTTGTCTAGTGCTTTTTTTTTTCGCCATATTTTAAGGGGGGCTATGAGCTCCACACTTCCTCCCGTAAATACTGCCACTGAGTCTAGAATAAAAAAAGAAGCAGACACTTACCTCATTCAAATCATACACTGTTTGGAGGTTGGTGAAATAGTGAGGTCTTCCAGTACGAACTTTCATGGAAGCTTCCTCGTCGCTCAGTAACTGCTGTACATACGGTCCAGCTCGATCACCAAACCCGTCTTCAAACTGACTCCGATACAGACCAGCCTTCCATAAACCTAGCAGACATGTAAAAATGTTCAATACATGACCTTGACGGCAGACAAATTCTCTCACCATTATCCACAAACTATAGGGTGAACCTTATAAAACAAAACAAACTCTCTCTCTCTCTCTCTCTTTGAATAACGCAGAACTTATTTGGGGAAAAAAGCTGTTGGTTCTCCAAATTAGGTTTGTGTGTTATTGTTTTTTTTTTTTTTTTTTGCTGTTTATTTATTTATTTATTAATTGCCTAAAAATGATCTTCCGCAGATCCAGGCCATAAACTTAAATTATTATTATTGTTATAATTATAATTCGGCCAGAGAGAAGGGACGAACCTGCACCTACTGGGTCCACAAGCTAGCTTTTGCAGGCAACCGTGTTATAATTAGGTACAATTTTTGTGAAAAATAACTTTGCCTAAAATTGTAAAGCTTGCTTCTTTTCTTCTTTTTAATGTTTCGAATCAAACTGTTATTAAAATAAAACTAATGATTTAATTCTGATAATGAGTATACTTATTGTTGAGGATTATGGCAACCATTCGTCTGTTTGTGGATAATGTTTCATTCATTTTTTTTGGTAATAGATAAGCAATGAACAAGATTGCAACTACGGGCACTTTCGAAAAATCAACTTCAAGAAATTTAAATAGCCTTTTTGGGGGGGGGGGGGTCTCGAAATTTGATAATTTGACACTTTTCTTTGTTTGGGGGGTGAAGGTCACCTATTTTAGGTCAGCCATGGGCATAATTTTTTTTTTTTTTTTTTTAATAATTAAAACAAAAAACAAAAAAAAAAACAAGGGGGGTTTAGGGGGGTTTCCTTACAAATACACACATAAAAAATACCAAAGGGGGGGTTTAACCCCCTAACCCCCCCCCCCCCCCCCCCCCCCCTGCGTACGCGCCTGGCCTTGTGCGTCACCTTGTGAAATGTGTGAACATGACAATGACATATTACGAAATCCAAAAATGCGTTCTATGAGACATACAATAGGGTATTTAACGAATTGCCCTTGATAGTTGATTTTTCGAAAGAAATATTGCGATCATATTAATGGGCGTTCATAAAATACCTCGTCCTTGGATGGTATCGCCCAACCTGGATGTCTGGAACGTGACATTGATGGATATGTTGGGATGGTAGTAGCCGAGATGTTGTCTGGCAGCGATTTTCCAGGAAATCGCCTCCAAGATGACATGTTTTTGAGCCCGCCGAGATCGATGATGGGCACCTGTCGGTTGATGTCATGATGTCATATATGCGGGTAGATGAGGAGGAGCATGAAGATGATGGAATGATGGTGATGGATTAGGTGGAGTGACGAGTTGGAGGAAGAAATGACAAGGAGAAGGAAGGGGACGATTAAGAGGGTACAGAAAAACGCATTGCAGTAGAATAATGCACACAGTGGTAAGAGGAATTATAAAAAAACAAGGTTAGTTGGTGGCAAAATGTTGAAAGGAAGATATAATGGACGATGATTCAATGTCGAAGATTGATCACAATATCATTGATATGGAATCATTAATAGAATGGCGTCAGTGTCCATTAAGATTGATTGGAAAATTGCAATAAGGAAAACGGTGTATTTGATATCAAATCGGTAATTGGAAGACACAAAAGCGGAAACATGATGATGATGATGATGGTGATGATGATGATGATGATGATGATGGTGGTGGTGGTGATGATGATGATGATGGTGGTGGTGGTGATGATGATGATGATGATGTTGGTGGTGGTTGTGGTGGTTGTGGTGGTTGTGGTGGTGGTGGTGGTGATGGTGGCGGTGGCGATGGTGGTGGTGGTGGTGATGATGGTGGTGGTGGTTTTGGTGATGGTGGTGGTGGGGATGGTGGTTGTGTTTGTGGTGATGGTGGTGGTGGTGGTGGTGAAGATGATGATGAAAATGAAGATAGGGAGACAAAATTATGTTCGATTATAATAAATTGTATCAAATATTTACAGTTTCTTTCTGACTTGTGTGCTCAAATGTCATGCGGTGCTGACCCGGTTAGTCCATTGTGGTATATCATGGTAAATGTATTAACAACTCCAAAGTCTGTAATTCGAAGTCATAACAGTATTAAATATACTCATATATATATATATATATATAATCTTTTTTAATAAATCACGTTTATTACAAAGAGATGAGATCTACGTTACTTTGAAATAAATGAATTCGGTAATAAATATCAAACGAAAATGAAAAAAATAAGGAAAGTATACCTATCGGCTACGTGTGTTTTTTCCAAAAATGAAAATGAAATCCATATTGTTGAATAAAGTTTTGGTTAATGCAAACAATTAATGGAGGTATTGTGCAAAAAGTCAATTGAAATTAATGGCTGGAGTATACGGCAAACGAAAAATGATATTGCTATATCAGTTTAATACAAACTTGAATGAAATTTATTATCTTTGAAGCAAATTAATGACAAATATCTAAAAGAATCCAATGGAATGTAAAGTATATGAAATGAAATGAATAAGTACTTTCAAAACCTTCACCTCTCTTTCTATGTTCGAGGGAGAGAAAAATCACGACGATATTCGATACATACTTTATTTTTGAGATTTTTCTTACGAGTAAAGGTTACGCTGCCGGTAAATGCAAAATAATTTCATATTTAGAAATTCTTACCCACAATAGGTCACATATTCAAAAGTCAGCTAGTTACTGCAATTCCTCTGCAAGATACTACATCGCGATGCCAATGAAACGCCTACGTAGGATCTATGACGAGGCAGCTGTACACAACTTGTTCCAACATGGCACGTTCCAATTGGCTACATCTCTTTCAGGATTACGCCCCCCAAAAATCTTTACCTCCATCGGTCTTTGATGGCGCTCATTTTGGCGCAATCACCAATAATGTCATTTAATTAAGCATTTTAAAGTCTGATAGAGAAGAAGAGTCCATTGCATTCAACCAATCACCCGTAGAAACAAGCTTTCACGAAAGTGACAAAAAGGCTGCTGCACATCAGAAATTCTCTTCTTTTTTTTCCTGCATGGGCTTTCGCTGACTAAGAATATAGCATTAACCTTGCATTATATGAGGGCGGGAATATTATGATTCTAGAAATTTTGTTTTCCTCCTCATCCTTGTATAACTATAGCTGCAGCTGTGTCTGAAAAGACAGCAGTTGGCGGGACCTCCACAGACAACAGAAAGGCAGGGTAAATTGACACATAGATGTAGACATACATGGGAAAATATTGGAAAGAAAGAAAGATACGGATAGAGAGAGACACACAGAGAGAGACTGAGATAAAGAGAGAGAAAGAAAGAAAGAGAGAGAGAAAGAGAGAGAAAGAGAGAAAGAAATTAAAGAGAGAGATTAAGCTAGCTAGGGAGAATGATAGGAGAGACTGAAATAGGGGGATTAGAGAAAGTAAATTAACAGGAGAGACAGATATGTAGATATACACACAGAGAGACAGATAGACAGACAGGCAGAGAGAAAGAACGAAAGAAAGAGAGAGAGAGAGAGGTGGATACGACTGGGTGGATGAAATTGAATTTTCATCACAGCCATTCTGCATGACCCTTTTCCTTGGCTTTAGATTTGTTAGCATTAAAAAGCCACCGGTTCACCATATGCTGCCAAATCCTACTTTTTCCTTTCATTTTCGTTTTTTTCTTCTTCTATTGGGGGGGGGGGGGCTCCCTTTCATTCCTAAAAAAGGTCACCTTGTTTGTTTTCCCATGCGGCAACGCTTCAAATGATTCTGCATCATTATACTAACCAAATAATATTCATGAACTAATTCCTGGTGTCATGATGATTTGTGGGCCAAAACAATTTGTTGAAGGGTGACATTGTGAGAATTCTTATTACATTATTTGATTATTTTGATAATGTAAGATTTAACTTTTTAGTATTCTGTGAAACGATTATTATATGTACGTTTCTTCATATTAAGGCCAATTTCATTTCATGATATACAGAAATATCGGGTTTTTCGTCCAACAATCTTTTTTGATTTTAACTAATTTTATTTATCTCTTTTTGAAGTGTATGCTCAGCTAGTGTAAGAAGGCATGATCTCTAGCATTTGGGCAGAGGGGAATTTTTCTTCGTTTTACCCGCATGTCTGCGTCCATTATATTGTAAATATTTTCAAAAATTAATGTTTTTGTGCAAGTTCCGTATTCGTTGGATAGTATTACGTCCATAATTATATTCATTGGTTACGTATAGTCTCCCTTGGAAGGGCTCAAGGCGAAGCAGAGTAATTGGTAGGGTGTAGCCGGATGGGAGGGGAAAAATGCTTATTGGTCGAGATCCTGCTCTGACGTCATTGGTTCTTATAATAATCCTCAAAGTAAATTATGTGATTAGTTATAGGGTCAGGTTTCGACAGATTTCTACAACAACTTTAAAAACAAACATTTCCGAAATAATTGAGACTATTTCCTTCCAACTCCCTTCCATTTCCCAGACACTATCAAAAAAACATGTCAAAATTGACTTACCAACAATACCATCTGTCCTGCGTCAGCACGTATGGCTCGTCTGAAAACTGTGATTGCCATCAGTATCCTCCAAAGGTGTGAGGCATCTGCCATCGAAGGGTTTGCATGCAACTTCACGTCGACAATATCGTCACATTCGAACAAAGTTGCGACAACGGATGACTCTACGCCATCAAAGGGTTCGCATGCAACTTCAAGTCGACAATATCATCACATTCAGACAAAGTTGTGCCAACGGATGACTCGCAAAACTTTCCAATCAATACAACAAACATATATCGTTTGGGCTTGCTCCCTCGGGTTTGCAATTGCTATCCACGGGGAACTAATGATCCACCATCTTGGGGGAGCTAGCCGGTATGGTGCTGACGGTGGCACCGGGTTGTTGTTATGATAGAGTATCTAAAGGTAATCCCAAGAGACAAAGGTCAGGGGAAACAACGACCCGTTGCGGGATCAGCAAGGGAAAATGTGATATCTTCTGCTTGTCATTTCCTGTTTTGAGCATCAAGTTCACATTCTCTGTCTCTCTGTCTGTCGTTCTCTCTCTCTCTCTCTGTCTGTCTTTCTCTCTCTCTCTCTCTCTCTTTTTTTTCTTCCTGGCCCTCTCTCTCTCTCTCCATCTCTCTCCATCTCTCTCTCTCTCTCTCTCTCCTTTCTCTCTTTCTCTCTCTCTCTCTTTTCCCGGCCATCTCTTATTCCCTCTTTCTTTCTTCTTTCTTTCTTTCTCTCTTTCTTCTACCTCTTCGTCTTCTTTCTTCATATCTTCCCCCGATCCCTCCAAACCTCCTATATCCTTCCCTCGATCCTTCCACACATTCCTCTAATTCCTTCTCCCTCTATCTCTGTTCTATCTCTGTGTCCCTTAATTTGTATTGTATTTTGTTAAGATACAAACAGAATGAAATTCTCCTCCCACCTGCTCAAAATCAAGCTAGAAAGTTATTCAAAGAAATATTATTATATTTCAACCTGATGTTTCAGGTTATAGTGTGAAGTACTGATGTTTGTTAAAGGTATTACAAAGTTTTGGTATGGGGTCATGAATTTGGTTCAAATGAACATATTGGAAGCATATGCGATCCTACAATATTCAGTGATCGTTGTCGCAGTTGAAATCGAGTCTGAGTTATGAAATTGTAAATAATAAACTCTTTATGTTGTATAGCTCCCTCTTAAGGTCAAGATATTAATCAAGCTATAAAATAATGTTTCTTGACTAAAATAGACCGATTGGCTATTCCCTTCTGAAAATTATGTATCACAACTACATAATATACTGAAATGTTCATGGTCGCAGCTACCATTGTATCGCCGTAGGCGCTATTTGAAATTTATCAAAATTTACCGGGAGCACCGGTAAATTTTTATATTCCATTTTTCTCGAAGCAGAAGTGTTTTAGGGGCTAAATTTTCTAGTGCTTATAATACATCCACAGGGGCATCCATTTATATCAAAAGTGTGAAGAATCACTATCCAACCAATTTTCAATATTTCCCAAAAACTTTGTATTACCTTTAAACATTTTCTTATTAGAACAATTCGTGGTGTCGTGAAAATGGTCGGTAATCGGTAGAGGGAGACAAAGCATTTCTTTCAAATTTCAGACTTGACTACCCTCATGGCGTTGCATTCGTTATCGAGATCGATGGGTAAAGCAATCACCACAAAGATTATATTTGGAAGGAAAAGAAATATGGGTGCTGTTGATTCTATCCTGTGTTTTTTTTTTCCTTCAATGTCTGACTTTGTACACTACTCGTGAAATAGAGGAAAATTGAATACCTTGTTAAAGTTATAATAACGTCTCTAATATGTGGTAGATAGATACATTATGAAATCGATATCGTGACAAAGAGGTGCGTTGTTATAATTGACATTATATTATTAACGAATTCAAAAATTATCTCCAAGTGCCATAGTTTCTTTGATTTTTCTATGTTGACTGGATTCGCGCATATTTTGATCACCTCTTTACATCACGTTTTTAGCGACACCTGTGATGATAATATGAGAGGTTCAAAGGTCATGGCTAAGAGGGATACCTGGTGTGGACCAACCTCCCGCGTCTTAGGAGCAACACACCGTTTGAGTGGCGTAGCCAGTGTGCCCAACCATTGATGGGGGCGCTTGTACCATAGGGGGTGGACCTACCCAGGGAACAAAAGGTGATAGAACAAGACCCTAGTGTTTGTAGTGGATATGGAAGGGAGGCGAATCGTCTTCTTTTTCCGTCATTTTCTCCTCTTTCATTTTTTCTTCTCTTTTGTTTTCTCTCTCTCGCTCTCTCGTTCTCTTTTTAACTCCTCTTTTCAACTTAGGGGCACTTGCACCGAAGTCCCTTTACAGCTACCCCACTGATCAAAGGATATGTTTTCACAACAAAGGTTGCTTGACACAAGTTTCAAGCTCTTCCCACTCTTTGCCATGTGGGAACATAAGGCGCTGTCTATTCCTGTCCGTATTTAAAAGCTATATGAACCTAGAAGACTTTGTCTTGCCTTTCCTTCCACAAGAAAATTTACCCTCCTACCAGTTGACCAAGTTTGGAAACGTACGAGTATTTTCTCTGCAAAGGAATTTCAAGTTAGTAGAATTCATTTTTAGGCTGTAAAAAGAAATTAAAATCATAACAGCACAGTTAAAGGATAAAGATATGGACACACAAAAAATGGTTACATGAAGTATAGAGAAGGAAAAACATAACTGAGCATTCATGTATTATGTAAATTAGGACTGTAATTTGTATACATGAGATGGGTTAGGTCAATAATGGGAACAACATATATCAAGCAAAGGAAGATGCAACAGAGGATGGGATTTGACAAAACGGCTTCATCTCTCATCGCAACCACTATCACCAACACCACCACCACTACCACAACCACCATCACCATACCGCAACCACCAAGACCATCATCACGCACCTTTAGAATACTATTATCATTATCATTAGTACAAATCATCACCACCAACACCACCATCGCCATCGTCATCATCAGTAGGCCTACATCGGCCATCATCATCATCATCACCACCATCACCATTATCAGTTCACTTTTTTTTATTACGATTACCATGCACCCCTATCATCACCACTGTCATTAAAAAAATCATCATAAACATCAGGCATCCGTTTAATTACTGTTATCATTCTCATCACTATCACTACCACCATCATCACCATCTCCCCCCCCCCTCCTCTCCCCCCCCCCCTCTCTCTCTCTCTCTCTCTCTCTCTCTTTCTCTTTCTCTTTCTCTCTACCACTTGAGCTTCTTCCTTGTTCCATCCCACCTATTTGTTCACATTCTACTTATTTACTATGAATTAAAAATGCATGAACATGACTTTCAAAAATGGTATTAGCAATTAAGAATTCGTAAAGACCCATCGATCATAACGTAACTTATACACATATTCATTAATAATTTATTAATTTATTAATATATATTTCGTGACTTACCTCGCCTTTCTCTCGTCTTTCTTACGCAATCATTCACATCGTCTGTGAATATAACTGGGGAGATATCTAGTCCTGTTTCGCATCGGTACACTTGTAGTCCGCACAAGGTGTGGTAGAATTCTCCGTTTGAGGCACAGACGCCCTTCTTCTCCGCCCATGTTTTTCGCCCACACACCGCTGAGATCGAGCAATCTATATTTTGAAGAAAAACATTAATTAAAAAAAAAATTCTTTGAATGCTGTTGATGCTGATAATTTTTAACTTTCGACGGTTTTAAAACTTTAACTGTTACATTTATATATCTAATTTTATTTCTATACTGTGGATTTTATTTTACGTTACAATGCAATCATTTTCATATGTACTTGAAAAGCAACTTCTTGATAAGCCACACATTATATTCAACATAATCATGTCTAAACATAATTAAATGAATACATATCAACCACTTTTTGCTCAGACCTGTAATGAATCAATGAATAAATTAGCTAAAATGGTATGTTACGATTATAATTCTATAACGACAATTTGAATAAATGTATAAACCTTGTTATACCCGTTGAATAGCTATGTTTATTCATCCGTATAACTATGCAACTAAGACATTGTTTTATTCGCAGTATGGAATTCACACCTATAACAGTATGCACGTCTACAACCGAACTGTTTTTTTACATCTTAAATCGTATTAGACTGGACATTATTACCGGGGAATGTTGGCATATGAATATCTGCTGTCGATATTTTTTATTAAAGCAAAACAAATCCACCTTCCTGTTTACCATCTAACACGTACTAAAACGCTCATTCTCGATCTCCACCACCCCTTCCTAGCTTTCCCCTCTCTCTCTCTCTCTTTCTCTATCTCTCTCTCTCTCTATCTCCCCCTCTCTCGCTCTCTCTCTCTCTCTCTCTCTCTCTCTTTCTCTCTCCCCCCCCCCCCACAACTTTTACCTCAATCGTATTAAATTTTCTTTCCTGCAGGTCCGGATTACTTTATTGTATTCATGTTGCTTAACCAATCTAATTTGAATTTCCCAGTTTATCATGTATTTTTGTATCTGTCTTATTGCCTTTCCATTCTCTAGTTGACTCGCTTTGGCATTTCCAATACAATTATATTTTGCACCTTGTAATTTCTTCAAATCTACTTTTCTGTCAACGACACACGTAAGAAAATGTCAAGGAAGCTGGCCTGAGAAAAATCTAAACGTAATATAGCAATTTCACTTTCATTCAAAATTAAAGAGATTATGGTGTAATTCGTTTCAATCAACTTTCTCACTACGCCTATCACCGGTGCAACCAATACACAGCTGACTCGCCAGGGAACCTCAGAAACATTACAAACAATTCTATTTATGATTTGTTGGAAAATCCTATCTGTTTACGCCTACGTCCGTTGTGGACATAATATCAAAACTGATTTCACTTTGGTTTTTTTCATGGCGTGCAATGATTCACGTAGGACCATCCATCATGGCTTTAAATGATGTTTGAGGTCCGCAAAGAATTAGGACTGCTTTCATCATGCTGCGATCGCGGTGGGACAGGCGGCTTGGATAAGGCTATCCGCTATCATCTTCACGATGCCTGGAAACTAGAACGAATATGGTTTGGCTAGGATGTATAAGACCAATCACAGCTGATCAACAATGACATGCAACATGCTATCCAGGTCATCCTTTACTGTCCTAGGCGGATCCAGGGGGCCCAAGACCAAGAGGGTCACCCCTCCCCCTATCGTCGGAAGGGCCGTCAGAGATCTTAGTGGTGAAAAACGTTGTGGATAAGAGATACTACGGTTCTGATCATTTAAGACCCTTGCAAGACACTTTTCTGACGAATGTCTAACCGTCAGAAAAACTGTACGCCCCCTTTCTCTTCACCGCTACAAATATACCAAGATGGTCATGAGATTAAAAAAATATATTAAAAATCTGCCTATCGCGTGGGGTATGTTTTCTTCTTTTTCGCCCCTTAAGCTCATCTTCACATAATTAAATGATTGCTTAAATCATTACAACCCTACTCTGAAGAAGAAAATAAAGTTATGTCGTTTTGTCTCACTTGATTTAGGCTGCTAATATTGTTATTATTGAACACAGTTTAAGATTGAAAAATGAATTAGGGTCTTCAATAGATAGCTGTCAAAAGACAAGAACTGAATTAGGCATAAAAAAAAACTCAATCTGGTAGGAAAAAAAAGTTTTTTAGGTAATAATTTGATTAGACATACGATATATGGATCTATATGGGAAGTAATCGGCCGCCCCCTGCCCTTATTGTAACAAAACTCAACATAGACACTGATTGACACCGTGTGTTATGCTACCCAGATACCATGGATTTTCTTTATTTCTCATCCTATAGTATACCCCACTGCATCCACCCTTGACCTGCATTTTCTTCTTCAATTGACTTGAAAATAATTAAATTTTAAAAATAAGTCACCGTTCTGACCTCAAAACAAATATATTTTATTAGATGACCGAGAATAGTAATGACGCTGTTGGAAACCAGGAGAGTTCAGTGAAGTGAAAGAAACAGGAATGTTGGCTTTTACAAACAGTCAATTACAGTTTAAGAGACAAATAACAAGAATCCTATTTTTACTAGGTTAGGGTCATCTTTGAGAAACGGTTCAAGTTTATAACAGTTTTTGAAATACATATCGATCTTCTTTTTCTGATCTTTATACTCCAGTCACAGCGTGAAATTTCAAAAAGGGAGTAGAAAACGCATACAATTCAAAGTCACCAATTCTATTCAATGGTGAACGAATTTGTTATCCTTAAAGAGGATTTTCGAAAATATTGTATTCCCTGGGTGGGCTATGATGCCCCCCCCCCCCCCCAAAGAGGCGAATGTTTACTTGGAAGAAAAATAGAACTGAACGTGACCCAAATCTAAAATTTCTCTCCCCAACTAAAGATCACTTATCACGCTTTTAAAAAAATCGTCCTCTATAATACTCAGAAATAATAAAGGTCAATTTGTGTCACCCAAAACAACTGTCACGATCTTGAATCAAAGCTCACAGTGTAACCCAGGGGAACAGGAGTGCTAAAAAACAAAAACATAAACAAGTAAATTATGCTGGGACAAGAAATCAAATTTCAACCCCATTTCAGGGTGCACGGTTTATAGGGCACCATGGTAAAATAATAGAGCAAAGTTCATCAACTACTTCTCAATTCTGAAGTAGACATATTTTATATGTTGCTCTTCGAATATGAATAGATTCGCCTTCTCTTTTAGCTCCGATTATATCTGTAAAATATGACTTGTAATCTTCATAAAATTGACAAATATCCAAGCGCTTTCTAGACCAAATGAATGAATTAATAGTTCATTGGTTGACGGGCAGGTTGGCTATTGATAGATAGATTAATTGATTGATTTATTAATGGATTAAGTTTTTATCATTTGTTTTCAAGTACAACAATGCAATAAAGGTTATTAGCCCGGTGAAGCCATATGTTTACCCAGTCCCCTTAACATTTTCCTGTCCAACTAATAACGGGTGAAGCTGAAATGTTTTTGCAGTCGTTTTCAATCCTTGAACCACGACGACACAGTAATAGGTGTGCTCTTTTCGTTTGATTGGATAATAAGAGAGCACTTTTGGACCGTAATTGCGTCATTAGAACTGTCTACAAGTCGAACGGAGAAGAATTAAGTACTACACAGATCACATCTAAATATACACTTAAAGATCCTAAATGTCAAATGTATATTAAATCAATGTCGGTATCGTATTCAATTATTTGGCGCTACTCATTCTTTGTAAACCATTGAAAACGTCCACGTTACCAATTTTTATCCTATAATTGTGAATGCTAAAATGAAAACACATAAAAGAGCAAAAAAATTTGAAAGAACAATTTAATGAGTGATCAAAAAGCTGGGTGAACAAAAACTAATTCCATACAAACTTACATCTGTGGAGGTGTTAGTAAGATATCCCCACTATGTATATTGCCTCGGGTGTTGGATTGTTTCGAACATTTCCAAACATACAATTTACAATAATTTGCTTTATAAACTTGTGACGAGACTTCTTGTCATTTTACAAATCACCCTCCTCCCAAGTTCCATGGATCAAGAGTCAACCGACATAGCTACTCTCTGGAATATTAACCGACCGGTCATTAGAACTTTTTAACGACCGGTCGCGCATTTAGACAATAAAGTACCTGGTCACGTGTAGGCTCTCAACAAATTGTATGTTTAGCATCAATGGCATCATTTTAAAGAATTAGAATTTATTCCTATTGTATCGAAGTCTAGTGATTACACGTCAGCGTGTATACACCGTTCAGCAAATGTCATTCATTTATCAGGCGATGTTTATCAAAAATGACTGCTAATTTAATAAGAGAACATGAAACCAGTGCGTAATATATTTGTTATTTTTACCTCCTTCCTCTGTTTATTTCCCTTCCATCCCTTCTCCCTTATGTTTCCCTCCCTCCGTCTCTCTTCATCTGCTCCCAATGTCATCGTCTTCTCTGTTCTTTCTAGTTTTCTCCTCTCCATCCCTTTTTATCCTCTCTCTCTCTCTCTCTCTCTCTCTCTCTCTCTCTCTCTCTCTTTGTCTGTCTATCCTACTGATCATCTTGGTATTATTTTTATCCTCAGGGTCTTAATGCAGTAATTGTAGAGGCATTCTAAGAATGGATGCAGAGGAGAGGGGCGCTCAAAATTACGTCGATGTGCTTCCAATGGTAGCCTGGGTAACAGCACACGATGGGTGTATGTCAGTCACATTACATACATCGGGCATGTTTTGTGCGTATGTTTCGTCGTACCTAATTATGTTTCCAATTTTATATTTCGGGCCTGTTTCAGCTTGTTCTTTTTTTAACAGTCATGATGCTTTGAAAGGAATATGTTTTAATCCCTAAACTGACGGTTGTTTCATTCATTGATTCAGTCACCCATTGACATTAGGGGAGAAATGTATATACTTATTGTATTGCCTCAATGAATGATGACATTATATTAAACATTCATAGAATTATTGACCAAAGTGTAGCAAATTATTAGCACATTAATTCGTTGGTGGAGCAAATAAATTGGTTTTTGTTAAGTCTGTCATCAGCTTAAGATGAATCTTGTCTCTGCCTCCAGATCTCAAGGTAAGCAAATATCATGTATAATCACACTAAATCAAATTCTTATAAAT